ATGGAGGTGGGGGGAAGGGAGAGAGTTTGGCACAGATGGTTACCTTATGGGTGGCTCTGCGGCACCACAGCCAATGCTAAGGCATGTAGGGTTTGGCCACAAGGCATAGCTAGATCCTCTGGCATGGCGTGGTGAAGTGAGCTGGCAAAGGAAGGCCTTGGTGAATCATTCAGAAAGTGTCGTATAGTCCCGAGACACTGGAGTCTCTTCCACTCTCTGGCCTTGAGCCTCGGTTTCTCTAGATGGTCCATGAAGGGGTTCACGATTTCTACGCTCACTTGCAATGACACTACGTCCAATCCACACTCAGGAAAGGAGTGACAGACAGATGCCCCCCCTCAGAAGAAGGAAGGGAATGGCAGATGCCCATCCCCGCCCCCCAGAGGGAGGAATAGCAAAGTTTTGAAACTGCCACGTTCTATCTATAGGTCACAAGTTATTTCCATCTCTCCCCTTCCATAAGAGCCCTCACACTGTCCTTCCTAGTACCCCACTAGAGAACCATCGCAAGTCAGCACCTCCGGCCAGTCAGATCTGGCATGTGAGACTCCTTGCCTCTGTCCTTCTGTGTAGCTCCTGTGGTCCGGGGTCAGTTTGAAGAGTTAGGTGCAGTGGGAGAGGCAGAGCACAGCCACTCCAGACCCTCCTGTTCTGAGAGGCCTGGGCAGGGCAGGCAACCATCACCAGTCAGTGGCAGTTCCTAACCCCTGCTTGCTGGGGACTCAGCCTGACCCTGGCCTGAGTGGTTCTCCATGATCTTGGCCCCTTCCTCTGAATTCACCTGTCTTCCCAGGTGTCCTTTCTCTCCCATGAAATGTTGCCGCACATGTGCAGTTTCTCAGCCCACTTCCTGCCAGTAGAATTTGGGGAGTCCAGAGCTCTTTTCCTTTTGGGTATCTCTGACCCTTAGACCAAGCTGATACTTCTTGCCTTTAAAAACGGTGTCTTCTATGAAGCCCACTGAGATTCACTCCTTTAGACAGCTGACAAGCCCACATTCCCCTGTAGAAAGCCCTTCTTCCCTTCGGGTGCTGTTGAGTCTGCTATTGAAGGCCACGCTAAGCGGTCTGTGTGTTGCTGGGGACAAACCTGGGGCCTCCTGCATGCTGGGCAAGCGCTCTACCACTGAGCCCTCACTCCTCCAGCCAGCTTGATGCCTCTTAAAAGTCCTGCTGTTTGCCTGGGAGAAGATCTTTCTAGCAGATATCAGACAAAGGCCTAATATCTAATATATACAAGGTGCTCAAGAAACCCCTCCCACAACGGATAAACCAATCACTAAATGGGCAAGGGAGCCGAGGAGAGACTTCGCAGAAGAAGAGGTAAGAATGGCAAAGAAACACATGAGGAAATGCTCATCATCCCTGGCCATAAAGGAAATGCAAATCAAAACAACTCTGAGATTCCACCTCACCCCAGTTAGATTGGCCAACATTGCGAATTCAAACAACAAATGTTGTGGGGATGTGGGGAGAGAGGAACCCCACTGCCCTGTTGGTGGGAATGTAAACTGATACAGCTACTCTGGACAGCATTCCGGAGGTTCCTCAAAGAACTCAACAGAGATCTTCCTTACCACCCAGGCATCTACCCTGAGCATCATGAGCCAGGATACGATAGAGACACCTGCACATCCCTGTTCACTGCTGCACTGCTCACAACAGGCAAGATCTGGGAACAGCCCAGATGCCCCACAGCAGATGAGTGGATCCAAGAAAGTGAGGTACCTACACAATGGAATTTTACAGAGCCATTAAAAGAATAAAATGATGTCATTTTCAGGGAAATGGATGGAACTAGAACAAATCATGTCCATGCTAAGTGAAGTAAGCTAAGCTCAGAGAGACAAATGGTGCATTTCTCTGTTAAGCGGAAATTAGATCTAAACATGACCAATTATACAAGATTCCAAATAGATCAAAAGGAGGTTACTCTTAGGGGAGAAACACAAAGGCGCAAGCACATCTATATGCCTCTCCAATTTATATAAAATAATACACATATCAATATGAACTCCAAGATATGGAAACAAGACCTTTTTTTTTTTAAGTTTTTGATGATTCTGTGGTGTGTGTGTGTGTGTGTGTGTGTGTGTGTGTGATCCCTCAGGGCTTGAACTCAGTGCCTGGTTGCTGTCTCTGAGCTTCTTTTGCTCAAGGCTAGCCCTCTACCACTTGAGCCACAGCACCACTTCTGGCTTTTTCTGTGTATGTGGTACTGAGGAATCGACCCCTAGGCAAGCATGAGCGAACGCTAGGCAAGCACTCTAAGCCACATTCCCAGCCTGTCTTTTCCTTATATATGTATTCGCATGTATGCCTCAGGGAGGGTTGAGGGGAGGGTAAAGAACTCAAGGGAGAAAAGGGTGAAAAGGTACAGCAGTGGAGCTCACTGGACACGGATGCAAGTAAACTATACAAGCGATGGGTGGAGATGGGAGGGAGGGACTGGGAGAGAATGAGGGAGGGAACACTGCAGGAAAGGAAATGTGTTCATGACCTGACTCATGTCATTGTAATCCCTCTCCACATCACCTCTATAATAACAACAAAGACAGTTATAATAATATAAACAAGTCCTGCTGTTTAGCTGAGTGCCTTTGGGTCCTTGTGAAAACCTACAGGATTTCACACTCATACCTTTGGCTTTGTCTGTAGACCCTCTTTTCCTGGCAGGGTCTGTCTCCATTTGATCCTTATGTGGAAGCTTACAGTTCCAGTGTCATTTGGCATCTGGTGAGGCTGGGAATGTTCAAAAGGAGCGAGTTCTTATTTGTCTTTCACAGTTTCTTTTGGCTTATGTCTCTGCTCTCACATTTTAGCATAAGCAGCAAAGAGCAGCCAGGAGGCCCCATCACCAGCTGCCTGGAAGTCTCCTTAAGAAGATCACCAGTTCCTTCGGTAAGTTTTCTGCTTAAGCCTCCTTCTGTTCTGTACATCTAAAAGGAATAGCTCACGGATGCCATGTGCTCCCTCTCCTGGGAAACATGGCCCCTCTAATAAGCCTTATAATAATCAAAAAATAAAAATAAAAGGAGGGGCTCCTGTCTGGCGTGCTGTCGTGGTTTGCTGGGATGTCCAGCTCTACACTGTGGTGCCTCAGTCCAGATGTCTGTCCTTCCTCCTCTCAATTTCCGTGTCCAGCACACCACCCCCTTTCTTCTCAGGCTCCTGACCTCATCACACACCTTCTACATGCAGGGCACTACCTCAGTGTTGGGGAATTCCCTGGAAACGAAGGTACATCTTTGCTCTCCCGACCCAGGAGAGGAGCTTGTACATCAAATGATTCTGAAGCAGTGATGAAAACTGCATCCAGGGGGGTCTCTGCAATCACAGAGCAGAGGCATCTCTGCTGAGAGGCTAGGGAAGGTTTCCCCGTAGAGGTAGAGTGTACCGGGAGTTCCCTGTTGGAAGAGTGAGGTAAACGGCACATAGAAGTCAAGGTCTGTGTAGACAACCTGGAGATAGTACTAGGAGAACCAGGACATTATCCAAAAACAGGCAGGGGACTTAACAAGGGCAGGTCCCTCCCACCCTGCCTCTCAGCCCATACACAAAATAAGTGCATTAAACCATTCAGCAAACATTTGTTCAGAAAACACGATGTGTCATCACTGTGTACTAGAGACAGAACAATGATCACATCCTAGATCCCTGCCCTCAAAGAGCTGATAGTCTAGCGGGAGAGACAGGTAGATAAAAGGCACAATGTGTGGGTGCAGAAGTGACACAGGTGGTGTGACAAGCCACCTCCTTAGGCTGTGGGAGCTGCATGGGCCTGGGTGCGACGCCGCAGCACACATCTGAGATTTGGTTGCTGCTTGGAAGCTGCCCGCCAAGGGACGGGCATCTTGCTGGGTCAGTGTCTGAGGTAAAGGCTGTGTGGAGCAAGCTTGGTGGTGGAGGAGAGAGGCAGGGGCCTGGCCCTTGGGGCTTGTGTAGAGAGGCCTCAGAAGACAGGCCAGGAAAGGTGAGTCTGGGAAGGACATTCCAGTAAAAGGAGCCACTGGGGCCACACTTCCTGCAGGCCTTACCAGTCCAGCTATTCTTTCCCCTCACCTCTACCCAGGGAGGGATGGAACATTGCTGACCAAGTTCCCAGGGCCAGCTGCACCTGGACAAGGTGGGCAGGAGGGTGGAGAAGAAAAGTCCAGAAGAGAACAGGCTGGGGAGAGGCAGGGAAGCCCTGGACAGGCCCAGACGCCAGGACTGCTGGGACATGAGGTCAGGGTGGCAAGGCCACTTTCTTCCAGGTAGCCGCGGGCGCAGGCGGGGTGTGCTGGGCATGGCGGCCCTTCCATCTCGTTGGGGTTGTTGCTCGTTTGTGGTTTTGCTTTTCCTGGTACTGGAACTAAACTCGGGCCATAGCACTTGCCTACCATTGGAGTCACACACACACCCCTTTTACATTAGTTATTTTTTGGGCACGTTCTCTCTGGTTTTTTGCTGTGGCCAACCTGCGTCCTCCCACCGGTGCCTTCTGTGCATCCCTGTTGAGGGACACACAGGCCCTGCCGGGAGCAGCCCGGGCCCGGGGTGCCTTGTACCTCTGTGAGTGGAGAAGCCCTGTCCAGACAGGTGCTGCTGCGTGTTTGGGGTGTCCATGCCCTGAGTCCACTGCGGGCTTGGGGTGTCCACGCCCCGAGTCCACTGCGGGCTTGGGGTGTCCACGCCCCGAGTCCACTGCGGGCTTGGGGTGTCCACGCCCCGAGTCCACTGCGGGCTTGGGGTGTCCACGCCCCGAGTCCACTGCGGGCTTGGGGTGTCCATGCCCTGGGTCCATGGCAAGGCTTGGGGGTGTCCACACCCTGAGTCCATGGCGAGGCCTCTCCCCACGTTCAGTCAGCTCAGAGGCCCCAGGGGGCGGCGGGGGTCTCACGGCTGGACGCGGCCCCGCCCCCTCGTCCCCCCCAGCCCCGGCTCTCCTCGCGCCCCGCCCCGCCCCCCCCCCCCGCCCCTCCTCCGGCCCCTCCGGCCTTGGGGGCGGGGCCGGCCGCCCTGGCTACGACCTCTGTCCCGTCCCGGGTCCGCTGGGATCGGATCTCAGAAGCCGCGCTCCCCGCTCCCCGTGCCCGGTGAGTCCTCCGCGGGCCGCCCAGCCCGGCTGGGGCCTCCCCCGAGGCTGCAGGGACTGCGGGGGGCCTCCCGGAGCAGCCCGGCCCGGCCAGCCGGAGCCCAGACCCCTCGCCTCATTCTCAGCAGTGGGAACGGGGCCGTGATTGGCCAGCCCCGGGGGCCCGGCACGAGGCCTCGCGTGATTGGAGGACCCCCCCCTCCTGCGCCAGCCCTGGGGTGCACTCACACCCGCCCCAGGGTTGGGGAGGTCGGACCCCAAACCACCCGGGGAGCCGGGACCTCTGCGGTAGGACAGAGTTTACCAGGCCGTCCTGCTGAGGGGAGGACTGCAGGCCTTCTGTCTCTTGCAGGCTGAATCCTGGTTTCCTGTCTGTAAAGTCAAGGTAATAGGTCCCCCGGACCTACCTCCCCAGCCTGCTGCAGACAGCCCTCAGTCCTTATTCCCAAGGCCCTAATTGTTACTTCTGCATCCACTTTTTGGGACCGTGTGGGAGACAGCACTGTGCAGACCTTTTCAGATAAGAATGGAGGCCAGAGGATGGTGAACTGGAGGCCATAGGTCACCACACCTTGCCCTGCACCGGGATGGTGGACTCTGAGCAGACCATGGGCCCAGGAGGCACAAAGTGCCCTCCCTCCAGGTGCCAGGCAAAGGAGCCCAACTCAGGTGAGAGCTAGGCCTCCCAGGGCCTCTGGAGCTGGAGCCATACCTGTCGGCTCCACGTAGAGCCTCACAGCAAGGCCCTGCCCACTGCCAGGGTTTCATCCCTGCCCAGTGGTCCGGGACCTCAGCTGAGCCGGTGGCCCCAGCTGCTATTTTTGCATCAGAGAAGGTTGTATTATATTTCATCACTATAGACCCATTCACATTATTCCTCCTTGTATGAGAAACTTCTTCCTTTCAAAGATATGTGCCATTTCAACTAGATTATCAAATTTGTGGACATAGAGTTGCTTACAGTAGTACCTTATCTATTAGTAGGGTTCATATGAGTGGATCTTGTTTTTGTCATTAGTAATTGTATCTTTATTTTTCTTCTTAGTTAACCTGGCTAGGGACTTAGCAGTTTTATTCATCTTTTCAGATCACCAGCTCCTGTTTTGTTGTTGTTAATTTCTCTTGTGATTTCTTGTTTTCATTAAATTCTACTCACAATTTTATTATTTACTTTGGATTTAATTTGCCTTTTTCTTTTTTTGGGGGGGGGTCTGGTCGTGGGGCCTGAACTCTTGGCCTGGGAGCTGTCCCTCAGCTCTTCAGCTCAAGGCTAGCACTCTAGCGCTTGAACCACAGCGCCACTTCCGGCTTTTTTCTTTTTGTTTATGTGGTGCTGAGGAATTGAACCCAGGGCCTCAGGCATGCAAGGCAAGCGCTCTACCACTGAGCCACCTTCCCAGCCCCTATTTGCCCTTTTTCTTGTTTCCTAAAGTGGGAGCTTAAATTGTTAGTCTTAGATCTTTCCTCGTTAATAGTGTCTGCATTCAGTGCTGCTTTCTGTGTATCCTCCTTTAGTAAGTTACATTTTCTGCCTACAAGCTGTTTAGAAGTATGGTGTTTAATCACCATGTACTGTGTTTTCTAAATACCTTTCTATTGTGGATTCTAGTGGTTCTATCATGGCCTGAGTGATGGATGTTGTGGAATTGTTGTATGATGTTGTTTTAAATGTGTTAGTGTAGGATGAAAGTGTAGTACATCTTGGTGACTGTGTGGTGTGAGCTCAAGCAGAATATGTACTCTCCATTGTTGAGGTAGTGTGTGAATGTCAGACACAGTTCAGTTGGGGTAGTTGCGTTCAACTTACTGTCAATCTGTGCTGATTTCCAACCTGCTAGGACCATCACTTACTGGGGATTGGGGCCAGGATAGGAGGGGGTGGGTTTGTTCCAAAGCCACCAACTGTGATAGTGAATTCATCTATTTCCCTTTACTTGAAGGCCTGGGCACTTCATGGTTTTAGATGATACATTGTTAGATACCTAGACACTAGGGTTGTTACATCTTTGAAGAATTAACTCTTGGCTATCCTGTAATGGCCAGTGTATCTAATAATTTTCCTTTCTCTGAAGTCTGCTTTGTCTGAAGTTTGTAGTGCTATTCCTTATTTCTTTTTATTAGTGTTAATAGTCTATATCTCTTACCATCCTTTTAATCTACTTTTAAAGTGGGTTTCTTATAGACAATATATAACTAGATCTTGATTTTTTTTATTACTCTGATAGTCTCTGTTTTAGTTGGTCTATGTAGACCATTAATGTTTAAAGTGATAGCTGCATTAGTACTACTCTGTTTAATTAGTATTTTCTTTCCATCATACTTGTTCACTCTTCAAATGCCTTCCCTGGTTTTAGTTGAGCATTTTGTTTGATTCCATTTTCTCTTCTCTTTTATATATCAATTACACTTTTTTGGTGATGCTTTATTTTTAGTGACTGTCCTAGATATAAATTTACAATATGTATTTATAACGCATCCAACTCTGATTTCAAATACTGCTACATTACTCTACATACCGTACAGATACCTTATGCTAATGATTTTCTGATTCCTCCTTCCTGTTCCTCATTCATTACACCTGTGCACAAACCAAAATCAATCTCCAAATACATTGCTGCTATTAATGTTCTGAGAAAACAGTTATTAATCTTCAGATTGACTTTAATTTTCTCTCTGATTCCTTTCTAATATTCTTTTTAATGTAGATCTGAGTTTCTGATATGTTTCCTTTTGTCTGAATAATTCCTTTGAGTATCACATGTGTCAGGATTACTCATGACATTTAGTTGGTTTTTGTTTGAGGAGTCTTTTATTTCTCCTTTCTGCAGAATAGTCTCTATGTGAAGATGGGATTTAGTTCTAGGTTGATGGCCTGTGTGTGTGTGTGTGTGTGTGTGTGTGTGTGTGTGTGTGTGTGTGTGTGCGCGCCCAATCCTAGAGTACTGTCCCTGAGCCGCTTTTGCTTGAAGCTGGTGCATTACCAGTTGGGCCACAGCCACAGCTCTACTTTAGGCTTTTTTAAAAAACAGTTTAATGGAGATAAGAGTTTCACAGACTTTCTTGCTGGGGTTGGTTTTGAACCATGATCTTCAGATCTCAGCCTCCTGAGTAGCTAGGGTTATACGATGTGCCACCAGCATCCTGCTTGATGGGCTCTTTGTTTCAGTTCTTTAAATATCTCATTTTGGAAGTGGTGCTATGGCTCAAGTGGTAGAGTGCTCGCCTTCAGCTGAAGAGCTGAGGGACAGCACCCAGGCCCAGAGTTCAAGCCCCACGACGAACCAAAAAAAAAAAAGTCTCATTTTGTTCTCTTGCTTGCATGTCTTTAGAAGATAAGACAAACATAATTTCTATCCACGTGCTTCTAAAGGGAAGGCATACCTTCCCTGTCCCCCTCAGCTCCTTTCAAGATTTTCTGTAGTTTGAGTATTAGTTAGGTCACCACACATAGACTCTTAATTTTTCTGTTTTTGCCAAGCCCCCTACTTGGTTTTCTCTGAGATACCCTATCTGGTTTTCCATCTGTTCAGCTTTAGAACTTTCTCGTGGTAATCACTTCTTCTATTGCTTTCTCTCTCCCTCTAGTATTTCTACTACAAATTTGCTACATCTGTAGTAATTATCCCAAAGTTCCATATTGTTTGTCTTTTTCCCTCTTCGCATCAGTCTGGGAAGGTCCTATGGCTATGCATCCCAGCTCACTGGCTATTTCTTCCAGTGTGTTTAGTCGTAGATATACCGATCACGGCATTCTTCATATTTTTGTAGGATTTTGCTGTTCCTGGCATTTGTTTTGCATTTTGGGGCGGTGCTGTCCCCTCCCTCTGCAGACCTGGGCACTGCTGTGGAAATGGTGTCCTGCCCCGAGAGCCCTTCTGGTCTTCATCACAGTCCCTTCTGGTTCCTCGTCCTGGCAGCACCCACAGTGTGTCCCCACTCCAGGTCACATGCTGCTTTGCCCCACTACGCTGTGGTGGTGGGTGGTAGATGTGGGTAGTGTGATGCTATGTCTTGTATTTTTTGTTTGTTTTGTAGAAAACCAGACATAATGTATCAGGTAGAAGATTCTGAAGTAGATAGGCCTTCAGTGCCAGGTTCTGTCTTTACCGGTAGAGGGTTAGGCTGTATTTCTGTTTGATTTAATAGTTATAGTTTTATCCACTTGTTTTTGTCTCCTTCATGTGTTTGGTTTCTCCTAGGCACTTCTTAAATAGGGTCTGACTTTCAGGCCTTTTTTTCTCTATTTCCTGTTATACAGGTGCCCTACTCATGTGACTGGGGGGAGGGAAAGAAGTGTTCTGTAGTCCTCTAAAATGAGTCGGCGCCCTTGCCTGTGACCCTGTGACCTTCACAAGTACTCCTCAGTTCCTCCTCCCCACTTGAAGTAATGCAAAAGGCTAGAAGAGGCTGAAGTTGTTTTTCCTTCTTACCAGGCTAGTAAGTCCTTTAAGAATAGAATTGCTGAGTATGTTTACCCCCCCTACCTCCCCACCCCCCCATGGTTCTGGTAATTGAGCTCGGGGTTTGGCACCACTTGGCTTTTTCTGAGTAGTTTATTGGAGATAAGAGTCTCATGGGCTTTCCTGCTTTGAACCATGATCCTCAGATCTCAGCCTCCAGAGTAGCTAGGATGACAGGAGTGAGCGACCAGTGCCCAGCTCTGAGTATGCTTTTAAATGGCTGCCTTCTCTCCTCCTACCAGCAGCACAAGGAGATTTCTCTCCTCTTACTGTTAGAGCCTGTTAGGGATCTTGAAAACAATGTCCACAATGTCTTACTCCCCTAACTATGGCCCTCAACCTTTTTCACATTGAACCTCTAATAACTCATTAACTATACTGTAAGCATTTTTACCCTAGTTCTTAGCTCTGGGTCACTTGCTGGTCTGGTAAGGTTTGGTTGTCTGTGTCCACCTGTTGCTATCTCTGGCTTGTCCTGTGATCTCAATTATCTGATGCATCTAAAGAGAATTGCTGGCTTTATTTGTTTAGCTTTTGCTTTGTGTTGACTAAAACAATAACTTCTGACTTTCTTCTGGCCTGGAAACCAGAAGTTCTATTTTTATTTTTTTTTTGGAAGGTTATCCAGTTTTTAGTGTACTCAATAATCCACCCTTTCCTGCCATTTGAAAGGCTACATTATCATATGAAATGGTCCTTTATTTCACTTTCTTTCCTCCTTTTTATTATGTATGAACATGCACACATTCCTACACTCTGCTTGGGGATTGTTGTAGAAACCTTCACAGACATTAAAATCTCAGTGTCAGTCTCTTACATAAAGGCCTTGCATGTCCTCGAATCTGCGCCCCTCCTTCTGTGTGCCTCATGCCCTCTGGATGACTTGCAGTACTAATGCAGTGTATGCACTGTATGCATGAGACTGTACCACGTTATTGGGGAGCAACAAGAAACCAAGTTTGTATGGATGAGTACAGACGTAATTAAAAAAAAAATTTGGTCTGCAAATGCTTGAATCCACAGATATGCACCAGCAAATACAGAGGGTCAACTGCCTGTGTGATTAGGAATTCTCCAGCCTTTCTTAGGTCCATACATACAAAAGTTCTGAACGAAGGCTTAGCTAATGAAATCGAGCCCTGTGGTAAAGAAGAACTTGTGACTAAATAAGCTGTGTTCATTCTAAGACGGCAAGTATACATAAGCTATCCTTGGAACACAACTAAATTAGCGGTATCTTCCATGGGTGCCAAAAAAAATGCTTGACAAAATTTGGGGGCGGGGAGGGAAAGAATAGCCTTAGAATGGAGTTCTGTGAGAACTGATGACTCGCGTGTATGAGGCCTAGGGTCTCACTGCTCAAACAAACAAACACGTAAGATTCCAAGACAGGGACCCAGAGGTTTTTCTTTTTTTTTTGTTTTTAATGTACCTCATGATTTCTTTCTTTTTTTGGGGGGGGGTCCGGTCGTGGGGTCTGAACTCTGGGCCTGGGCGCTGTCCCTCAGCTCTTCAGCTTAAGGCTAACGCTCTACCACTTGAGCCACAGCGCCACTTCCAGCTTTTTTCTTTTTGCTTATGTGGTGCTGAGAAATTGAACCCAGGGCCTCAGGCATGCAAGGCAAGCGCTTTACCACTGAGCCACCTTCCCAACCCGTGTACCTCATGATTTCTTGTTTCTTTTGTATTTGTCCCTCTATGATTTACCTCCTGTTTTCTCTGTATTTGATTTTGGTACCCTGGTATTGTATATATGTTTATCTGAATTAGGGAAAGGAAAGGGAACAACAAAATGGCGAGACAAAGGACAAAGGGGGAGCCAATGCAGCAGTGATACTCACCAGACACTATGTTGGAAATGATCTGTACAACTTGATGGGTGGGAGGTTGGGAAACTGAAAGTAACATGAGAGACACGGTAACAAGTTTGATGAGAAATGTACTCTCTACCTTACTTATGTAGCTGTAACCCCTCTGTACATCACCTTGACAATAAAATTTAAAAAGAAAAAAAAGCTTGACAAAGCTCATCAATAAGTTCTTAGCAGAAAGAATAGGCCACAGTTTTACTGGTTTAGGTAGATAAGCATGTATTTTAGAACTATTTGTTGACCCACCTTTGGCTGGAATGAAGCCTCCGTGGATGCGTAGGTGGGTGGAGTACACACAACCCATCTTGTGCCGGTTTATGGCCCCGATGGCCACACAGGCTGGCCACCTGTAAGCTGGAAGGCTAATTACAGTGCTTTCTCTCAGAGACCCTGTGACCTTACCCCATCTGAGGTTCACTTTGATTGCCCCTTACTCATGGCTAACTGCTACCTGTTATTCCCCTCTTCAGGGCTTAAGATGCTAAAATATTTTAGAGAATGGGAAGTAGAAATGTCTTTAGCCTCTTCCTACTGGTATGGGGTTTAGGCTCAGCAGCAGTGTCTTAGCCTGGTTCTTTGTAGATGGACCAGCAGCCATCTCCAGTCCCAGCTGACCAGAGGACCTTGGTGACAGGCACAGTCAGTGGTAGGTGCTCTTGAGGAGTAGTTTAGTAGAGTTAGCCATTAAGGTACTATTACTTGTGCTGGGCGCTGGTGGCTCACACCTGTCATCCTAGCTACTCAGGAGGCTGAGATCTGAGGATCATGGTTCAAAGCCAGCCTGGGCAGAAAAGTCTATGAGACTCATCTCCAATTAACCACCAGAAAACCGGAAGTGGAGCTGGAGCTGTGGCTCAAAGTGGTAGAGCGCTAGCCTTGAGCACCAAGGTCCTGGTTTTGGTTTTGGTTTTCTAGGTATGAGCAAATAAATGAACAAATCTAAGGGAAACTTGCATTGTCTAATTAGGCTTGATGTCACTCTCTCTTTCTCTCTCTCTCTTACACACACACACACACACACACACCTTCCTCACTCATCCCAACAGCATCCTTGCCCCTCACCCCTGCTTGGAACCCACCCACTCACCACTGGCCAAGGTGAGCACCCTTTTGAGCCCAGGCTCCCTTTTCCCCTTGGTTGGCGCCCTGGCTCAGGGCAATGAACTTAATTTGTAGACAAGTATCTATCTGAAGAATGTGGCTTCTTTTTCACAGGACTGGTAAGTTGGAGAAATATGTTCTAGTACCGTTCAGAGGACTTGTACCTCAGGTTCGTGCCAATCTGGAGAAATTCAGGGTTACACTTCCTGCCTGCCTCCTCCGCTGTGGTGATGGTATACTGCTGCCCGTGACTCTGGGTTACGTGTGCACACTTTCTGTGGCCCCTTGCACAGGGACAGTTACCCTGTAGGGTCTGATGCCTGTAGAGCACTAGAGGTGGCCAAGAGCAGGCAGGCCAGGTGCTGTGAGCTGCACCACTTGAACGGGCCCAGCCTTCCCCAGGGAAACAAGCATATCTAACCTGCAGCTTTTTCTCCCCCAGTTCTCTTTGGCTCCTTCCACTGCCATGAAGATCGCAGTGATTGGGCAGAGCCTGTTTGGCCAGGAGGTCTACTGCCACCTGAGGAAGGAGGGCCACGAGGTGGTGGGCGTGTTCACCATCCCAGACAAAGATGGGAAGGCAGACCCCCTGGGTGAGTGAATAGCCCAGGCCAGGCCAGGATGCAGGGCCTGACTGTCTGGGCAGGTGGGCAGCAGTGGGAAGTGGCCTTGCGATGGGGCTCTGGCTGGAAGGCAGCCATCTATCTACCTTTATCCTGAGTCTGCCCCAGTGCCAGCTGCTGCTGGATCTTTTCTACAATAAAGTGGCAATCCCCTCCCCTTCTGACTTCGGGGTGAAGTCTGTGTCCTCACAAAAGTATTCAGGCTCTGGAACGGTCTCGGGGTCAGAATTCTCAAAGGTAGATATACCCTATACTATTATTCCCAGTGTCTGTTGAAACCCAGAGTGCTGAGCCCTGCAGTGCAGTAGAAGGGGTCGGCACTGGGAGGCTTTAGTTCTAATGAGCTCCTAGGTGGGGCTGGTGCCCTGTGCTAGGAGGAACAGTGTTAGTTTTGAGTGGGAGCCTGCGTGGAGGAACAGACCCTCCAGGCACACTTGCTACTCTTTAACTTGTGGGGCAGGACTTGAGGAGGGACCTTTGATGTAGGGAGTGGGGCTTATAGGTGTGACCATGTACAGAGCCGGGGCTTACAATGAAAAGCGAGACTCCCACGACTCCTCTACTCTACTCCAGCACCACCAGTGCCATTCAGGGCCCTGGTCCTGCACTTGACCAGTGTGACCCCTCATAGGCCCTGCTCACCATATTCCGAGCCCTGCGGGCTGACCCCAGAGAACCACCAGCTGTCCCTCCCAGACCCAGACCCAGCTTGGTGAGACTTGTACTTGACTGTGGCTCTAATGTCCTGCAGAAGTATTTCATTGGCTACGGTGGTACCACTCTTTAAAGTACCCTCCCTCCCAGCCATCGGACATCACAGCACAGTTCCATAGAAAGGGCTCAGGCCAGTCAGGGCAGATGGCATGTCAGATGCTGACTGAGCATTGAAATCCAAGAAGCATTCATTAGGTAGTGAAGAGGGCCCAGTGGTGTCAAGGTAGTAGCTGCTGCACTGGAGGTATGACTGCAGATGCGGCCACGTTTGAGAATAGGTAGTGGACTGCAGACTGAGGCCCAGGCTGGGAACGGGAGGCGGGAATGCAGAGAGCTCCAGGGCTGGGAATGGGAGGCGGAGTGCAGGCCTGTGAGAGGTGTGACGCTGTCCCCAACAGGATGAGTCCTGCAGCCTGGGACTGGGCCTCAGGCACAGCAGGGGAGGTGCATTGAGACGAGCTGCAGAGGTGGGGAGAGACGTCCGTTGCAGCTCTGGAAAGGAATGGCACCCAGGGTGAAGCATCATAGTTGGGGTGATGGTCAGAGGACTGGACCCATTGAAAGGACCAAGCCCCTTCTTCTCTTTCCCCATCCTCCCTTCATGCTCCCTCTGGTCAGGGAAGGGCTGACAAAGCAGGAGTGGAATTCACACAGCTGCAGGCCTCTACCACAGAGAGCTGGGGCTGGGCAGACAGCCGTTTAGTGCTGGCCATGGCAAGGCCTCAGGACAGGGTAGGTGAAGAGGGGTCCAGGTGGGACCTGAAAGAGCGGGGGCACCTAGAGGTCTTTGTGCCCAGCCTAAGACATGTCCAGGTGAGGAGACCCTGAAGACTCACCTGTGGCCAGTTCCAGCCCCGCTGCGCTGCCTGCCTGGTCCTGGCTGGGCGGTAAGAGAGGGGAGGGAAAGGCGTAGAGAGAGGGTTCAGGAGCTACTTAGCTGGGCAGTGGATGTGGCAGTATGTGAATGGCTGGTAAAAAAAGGGGGGGGCTGGTTTTTTATTTTTGTCGGTTGTGGGGCTTGAGCTCTGGGCCTGGGTGCTGTCCCTCAGCTCTTCAGCTCAAGGCGAGTGCTCTACCGCTTGAGCCACATTGCCACTTCTGATTTTCTAGTGGTTTTTGGAGATAAGAGTCTCACGGACTTTCTTGCCCAGGCTGGCTTTGAGCTGCAAGCCTCAGATCTGTCTCTGAGTGGCTAGGATTACAGGTGTGAGCCACTGGCACCTGGCAAGGGCTGGTTTCTTAACTGCTCTCCCCCAGGTCTGGAGGCTGAGAAGGATGGAGTGCCGGTGTTCAAGTTCCCCCGCTGGCGGGCACGAGGACAGGCTCTTCCTGATGTAGTGGCCAAGTACCAGGCTTTGGGTGCTGAGCTCAACGTCCTGCCCTTCTGCAGCCAGTTCATCCCCATGGAGGTGATCAACGCCCCCCGTCATGGCTCCATCATCTACCACCCATCTCTACTGCCCAGGCACAGAGGGGCTTCTGCCATCAACTGGTGAGTTGGGACAAACACTGGGGATCTACCCTCAAATACTTCCTGCCCCTGCATCTGCCAAGTTACGATCCCCGCTTATCCCAGAGCACCTCTTGGGGGCTATAAAGGGCTACCCAGGATCCCAGGTCTTGGTGTTTACCACTTCATGTATGAGCCTCAGTTTCCTAATCTACAAAATAGACATACCATACTTATTGGTGACCTTACGGGGATTAAGTTACATAAAGCACCTAGAGCTTTTAGCACAAAATCTGGCACATTGTTGGTTACTAATAAACGTTCTTCTTTCCCCTTCCCGTGGACGCAGCTGTCGCTCCTCTTTGGGGACGGAGGGGACTGTTAGAGAGTGAAGAAGTCACAGAGTGGCACCAGAGCATCTTTCTTGGTGCCCCTTCCTTTGGACTCAGGACTTCACTCTTGTGCTTCTAGGACCCTCATTCATGGAGATAAGAAAGGGGGCTTTACCATCTTCTGGGCCGATGATGGTTTGGACACGGGGGATCTTCTACTCCAGAAGGAGTGTGAGGTGCTCCCGGATGACACCGTGAGCACCTTGTACAACCGCTTCCTCTTCCCCGAAGGCGTCAAAGGGATGGTAAGGCTGAGACCTGGCCATAGCTGCTTCTTCTTCTGTTGCACAGTACCACAGGCCTCCATCCCAGGCCTTCTCTCAGCTCTGCCTGCCTTCCCTAGAGAAGGCACTTGTCTTGATCTGGCCAGGAACCTGTTCCCAAATTCCAGGATTCTGGAAAGAAAGGAGCTATCACTTTAGGGTGTCAAAGAGATGGGATTAGGTCTAGATTAGAGAGTCTTGTTCACAACTGATAGAACCCAACTCAAAGCATTTTAGCCAGTGGGAGAGGCACATTCAGTGACACTAAAGGCAAGATGAGGTTAAACGTGAATGAGTCCAAAACTTAAGGTGCACTGCCAGAAGTCTGTTTCCCTATTTCTTTAGTCTTTGATTCTGCTTTTTTCTATTTGATTAGTTTCATCTTCAGATTGAGTGCCTGGAATAAGAGGATAATGACTAGTAGCTTAAACCTTTTAAACCTGTTAAAACAGTTTTTTTTAATGTTTTTTATTTATTGTCCTTTATTTTAAATTTCAAAGTATTATAATATGTTATTATCTTTAAGTAGTTGTACAGAGGAGTTGCCATTCAATAAAGCAGTTGCGAATACAATGCACTTTGATCAGTGTCACCCCTTTCAACATTCTCACCTGAAACTTGTAATTTAAAACTTCTAGTTCTTCATTTCTGTGGGAAGACAAACCCTCTTTCTCCTAGAATCTAGTGAAATATCAAGGAAAGCTGATTGATCAATTTTGGATCATGTGATTATCCTCACTCAACCTCTGCCAAGGGCAATGAAGTCCTTTGATTGGCTCTCTTGTGGCATGCTTGCCTATTATGGCCAAATTGGGGAACAATGGCCAGCACAGTTGGAGTGAGGGGTTTGAGTCTCTATGGGAGAATCTGCCCCAAAAGGCAGAGGGCAGAGCTTCAGAAAAACGGAAAATAGATGTTGGGATAGTTTACACTTGATGAATGGACAGGCCCCAAGGACCTGACTGCAGTGGCTGGGCAGGTCTAGGACTTGAGTGTGTGTCAGGCTACTGTCGCTCTAGCGGGAAAGATAGACTGGGGAGGACCAAAAAACAGGGTGATATGCCCACCAGGAGTTGGATAGGTTTCCAGGAGAGATTTGCACAGGTGCTGACTGCAGCACAGATGTCAACAGTCGCCTGCCCTTGGCCCTGTTGCCATTGACTGTCTTTATTTTTCAATTGTGTTTAACTAGATCCCTCTTTGTATTTCCCCATGGGATTATTTGCTCACAAAAGTAATGAGAAAAATCAGCTGGGCACCAGTGGCAAATGCCTGTAATCCTAGCTACTCAGGAGGCTGAGATCTGAGGATCACAGTTAAGCCAGCCCAGGCAGGAAACGCCATGAACCTCTTATCTCCAATAAACCACCAGTAAACCGGAAGTGGTGCTGTGGCTCACGTGGTAGAGCTCTAGCCTTGAGCTGAAGAGCTGAGGGATAGCACCCAGGCCCAGAGTTCAAGTCCTACAACCGACCAAAAAGAAAGAAAAAAAGTAATGAGCAAAATCACCTTGCTGGAGCTTCACACAAAACACAGATAAAGCAAACAACTCAAATATCCATTCAACATAATGGCCACTGGTCATACCCATGTGTCTATTTAAAGTAATTACAATTCACAGTAATTTAAAAATTCAGGTGTGGAATTGTGACTCAGAGATAAACACTTTCCTAGTATGCAGGAAGTCCTAGGTTCCAGCCCTGGCACCACCACTACCACTACATTCAACACATCAGTTTCATTAGCTGTGTTTGAAGTCCTTGGTAATTCCACATGGTTCCTGGCCACTCTGTTGGACCATGCAAACACAGAACGCATCTGTGACTGCGGAGCATCCCATCAGTAAGCAGTTCCTGGTGTCAACCACTTGGGCATACTCTCATTTCAGCCTTTCCCAACCACCTTCCTCTTTCCTTCTACAAAGAAACTGCATCGTGCCCGACCTTCAAACTTAATGCCTCTAAATCCACCTCAGGGTCAGGGTCCATCCTCCTTACAAGGTGGAGAGGATTTAGAATGAAATGTGTGGCTCTGCTCCCTGTGCAGGCCTTTATAGCCTGTCTAATCTAGAGATCTCAGGAACAGAGAGATCCATGTGGAGCTAGCGAGGTTGTGCCCACTGCTCAGAGTGAAGTTAGTCAGGTTCCTTCCATGTGCTTGTGGATATGACCCATGTCTTGGCAGGGCTGGGCATGAGGGCGGGCCCTGCAGCTGGGTGTACTGACTGGCGGGTTTCCTGTCCAGGTGCAGGCTGTGAGGCTGATTGCCGAGGGCAAAGCCCCCCGATTCCCTCAGCCTGAGGAAGGAGCTACCTATGAAGGAATTCAGAAGAAGGAAACAGCCAAGGTGAGTGCACAGCCCTGCCCACCTGAGCATGTCTGTATGTGGCTGAGGGTGCAGGCAGTGTTTGGGGCCCAGGCCAGTACTACAGGAGCAGGACCAGAACAGGGTCCTTCCTGGTCCCTGGTTCTTCCCAAGGCAGGCAGTGCCCCCAGGGAGGGAGGAGAGCTGGGGCAGGGGTAAGTATCGGTCCAGTGTCTCCAAGATAAAGTAGGAGAGATAGTAGTTTCTTAGAGCTGTAGTGAGTAGGGGAGATTTGGGGGCCAGAAGGCTGTTTCTTCTTGGGGGTTGTCATATGCTGTATGTGGATCTCCATAGCCAAGGAAACATGGTTGTGAGGTCCTGTAAGGTGGACCTGAGAACTTTATTGTGGGACTTTGTGGGGCACTGGGCAGCTCAACAAGAATAGGTTGAGCTCTTACCAAATGCTGTCTGCAGACTACCCAGCTTGTGAGAGACTAAAGGTCAGGGAGAACCAGGGCGCCAACCAGGGAGTCAGGCCAGGGTCCAAGAGGAAGCCCAGCAGGGGTGGGCCCACTGTCCAGGGGCAGTGGGGGTGTGGGGGGAGGGGCTGGGGAGAGTGGTGAGGACATGCATCCTGCTCTCCACAGATCGACTGGGCGCAGCCAGCAGAGGCCATTCACAACTGGATCCGAGGGAATGACAAGGTGCCGGGTGCCTGGACGGAGGCCTGTGGACAGGTGTGTTCACACATGGCTGGCCTTCAGCTTGATGTGCCGGTGTGGCCTGCCATCCGTAAACTTGTTAGATGTGTTTGAAATGTTTAGTGAATAGCCACTTCATGACTCAAATGCCCCCTCACCCCTTGGCCCCTCCTCAGGATACAGGGATTCTGGCTATCATCCAGTGACTGAAGGGCAGGCGTCTGGCAACACAAGCACCCACCACAATTCTGGGATCTAGATATACTGATTTGAGTCTCACCCTAAGTTCTCAGATGTCCTAGGCCCAGTTCTAACCCTTACATAGGCCTAGGCAGGGAAGGGGCATAATACCCAGGACCAGGCTGGGCAGGGGTGGGCCAGGTGTTGAAAATCAGGAGCTCTGGGGTCAGAGGGCCTATAAGGCATCAAAGGGTGGAGGATCATGTGGGGGTCTAGGCCCATACCTTGAGGACAGTCCATCCTCTGCATAGCCTCAGACTGCCCAAAGCCCTGGCCCCTACTGACTGCCCAGCCTGTGTCCAGAAGTGTCCACAGGCGCTGCACTGAAGCACTCCTTTTTGTATGGACAAGCGCATCTCCTCTCAGTGACTAGGACATACGGCTGAATTAGCGCCCCAAGTCTGTCTCGTCCTCTAGGCCTCACTTGTGCCCCCAGAGGCAGGGTCTCAGGGGCCACTTAGCCTCGTATAACTCTCCTGGGACCTGCACAGCTGTGGCGGTACAGGGCCACCATCTCCCGTTTCCTCCTCTCCACAGAAGCTGACATTTTTCAACTCAACATTGAACACGGCAGGCCTGGTGCCTGAGGGAGAAGCCTTGCCCATCCCGGGAGCCCATCGGCCAGGCGTGGTCACTAAAGCAGGACTCATTCTGTTTGGGAATGATGACAGAATGGTAATGGGATCACTATAGTCACTCGATTGTAGCGTGGGTTCAGGGTCACCCCTCTTCAGGAACGGGGACTTTCGGGCCCCACAGGGAGGCCCCGGGCTTCTCTGGGAAAAAAATGGGAACCAGTAGGGGTAACCTGGTGCCAGCCTCTGACCACGGGGTCAGCCCTGAGCACAGGCCATTCAGAGTGGGGCCTGTGCTCTTTGACCAGTGCCCCACTCAGGAAAGAGCACCTGTGTGGGTCCTCTTGGGGAGCTCTGACTTCGGGCCTTATTTCAGTCTTCCAGAATGTGATTGCTAAGCCCCAGGGCCTCAGTGTGCTTCTCCTTGAACAGGGAGCTCTAGTGACGTGCACAGGGTGGGTCTTTTGAGCCAACTGAGCACACGCTGTGTTCCGATCAGTATTAGCAGACTTTATCATCAATACAGCTACTAATTCTATAAAGCACCAAGCAATGTTTTAGAACAATTTATGTGTGTTTAGTCTTCCAAAAACTCCAGGAGACATGTATTAACATTGTAATAATTTTACAGAGAAGAAAAAGGAAGTGCAGAGATTTGAGTAACTTGCTCCAGGTCAGAGCTAGTTGGGGGCAACGCTGAGATTCAGACCCTGAAATATTGGCTATGGGTCCCCCTGTGTGGCTGTGATAGCCAGTCTTGGTACTGTGGACCCCTCACAGGAAACACTGGGGGTGGACAGATGGAGGACAGGCAGAGATTCCCTCGCTTTAGAGTTGGACAAACCCAGATGTGATCTTGACCATGTTGGCATTGTACAGGCCCAACAAGGGTGTGGAGGACAAAGCTCGGGACGATGCTGGATCCCTCCTAGTTTTCACTGGGCCATACTCTCCCCTCAGAGAGTCGGCGGCTGCCACTGGTATCTGTCACGTGGAGTGGTTGGGTGTGTTAAGTCTTCATGGTCGGTAAATGTAGTCTACAGAGAGTTCTGTGTAAAGTCAGGCTTCCTGGGAACAGGAAGGTGGGAATTCTCACACCAGTGATTTATTGAGGGAACATTCCTAGAGCATAGACAGGGCATCAAGGGCAGCAGGCCAGGCAGAGGGGAAGGCTACGCAAAGCTGTGCCCGGGGATATCTGGGCTCTTTGGACTGAGATGTTTTGCTGGTTATACACCCTAGCAGCCTGCCCTTGGTCTCCTTGACCCTGGAGCCGTGGGCTGGGACAGTTAGATATGTCCTCAGCCTTCAGCTCAGTGCTTATTGTCAGTAGCAGGTGAGGAGGAGGGTGTAGGACGGACTAGTCCTGTCCAGCCCTGGTGGCAGCTAAGGCCATGGGGCTGAGAGATGGGAGCTACAGCTACCACGAGGCCCACAAGATGGCTGAACAAAGAAACAGCCTTGGTGGAGAGCCTTGGGCGTAGCTCAGTCTTGCTGGGTCTGGCTGGCCTTCCACCCAATAGAAATATCTTCAGTGGCAGGTGTGTGGGGCTGGGCAGAGAACCTGGCTCTGTTCTGAGTGCTTGACATGCGCGTGCTATTTCTGCAGAGCCACTCGTATCGAATGTTGCACGAGTCTGCCAAGAGTTCATCTGATATGCTTTCCTGATCTCTTGGTTTTTCTCCCATCTCCTAACAAAGGCTTAAACAACTGTTTAAGAACAAACAGGCACCAAAGAAAGCATGTGATGTATTACTAAGCTCAGTAAGTCTGAGACAGATACAAGAGTATTCCAGTATTCCATTACGGCCCATATTGGACAACCAGGATCAATCACCTTAACTCTAGGGCTGGACATGGGGCCTATCTGGGGCCAGCCTGAAGTGTGGTCCCCCAGGGTGCAGTGTAGGGCTTGCTGGATTCCTCTTATCCTCTCTACTGTCCATCTCTGTGTCCAGGCAGGTATCTCTTACCTAGATATTTCTGTAGGGTTTCTGGGAGATTGTGGGATCGGATGTATTTTCGATTGACATTCCGAGTAGTTCTGGAATTATTTTTTCCTGATGAGCAGGCATCCTTTTTATTAGAGTATAGAAATAATGAAGTCATTACACAAGGAGAGGAAACAAGAACATGAAGTGTAACTCAGTGGTAGAGCTCTTGCCTCGCGTGCTCAAAGCCCTGAGTTCCACGCCTAGCAATGCATAAACAACAACACTGGAAAGCAAGTGTGGTGGGAAAGTGAGGATTGAGGAAAGGTACAGGCTGTGTTCTGTGTCTATGGATAGTGGCCTCCCACCTCTGAACGCCCCTCGTGCTTATGCGGGGCTCCTCGTAGTTGATGTGGCACTCTGCTTCCTCCTAGCTATAAGGGTTGGAGACAGAGCACGGGTGCCCAGCCCGCACTCGTGCCAGCATGCTCACCCTGCCTCAGTCTGGCCGCAGGAACAGCGCAGTCCTTCCTCTTGCAGCTGCTGGTGAAGAATATCCAGCTGGAAGACGGTGGGATGATCCCAGCCTCGCACTTCTTCAAGGGAGCAGCCAGCAGTGCCCTTGAACTGACGGAGGCAGAGCTGCTCACGGCAGAGGCTGTGCGGGTAAGAAGTCTCCAGAGGGGCTGTCCAGTGGGATAGGGTGTATACCGAGTGTGTTTGGTGAGTCACATTCCCTTGGGTTTGGCATATGTATTAGCTCCGGTCTTAAAACTTTCTGGTAACCCTGGGCCACTCCTTTCTTTGCAACTGGAGCCCTGGATCTGACTCACCGGACTCATTGTCAACAGTAAACAAACCAGATGGCCATGGGATAGTTGAAAGAATCAGGGCCTACCTAGCCATGGCCTGTGATGGGAGCAGGTGCTCTGGCATTTACCCAAGAGACTGTCCACAGCCGGGAGGCCAGGCTGACCAGTACAAGCTTTGTACTGAGAGCTTTGCCTCCATCCACACCTGAGGACCTCAGTCTTCCAGCCTGAAGTTCAGTCAGTGGTCACTCACAGGGTTGGCTCTGACCCATTTTGGATTGGAATGTTGAATGGGTTTTCAGCCACTCATCCACTCAATCATGTAGAACAGGTCCTCCTTTGCTTACAATGGGCTACATCCTGATGAACCCATTCTATTTTTTTTTTTTTTTGCCAGTCACCGGGCCTGAACTCTGGGTCTGGGCGCTGTCCCTCAGCTCTTCAGCTCAAGGCTAGAGCTCTACCACTGGAGCCACAGCGCCACTTCCGGCTTTTTCTGTTTATGTGGTGCTGAGGAATCGAACCCAGGGCCTCATGCTTGCAAGGCATGCACTCTACCACTGAGCTACCTTCCCAGCCCCTGATGAACCCATTCTATGTGGGCATTGCATGAGCTGCTGCAAGCCCGCCCCACTAAGTGCCTCATTCAGCAGCTCAGTGTCTATGAGCTCCTTGGGATCTCAGGGCTGGCTGGGAGCTCCGGCTCATTGCTGCTGCCCAGCATTGAGAAAGATATATACTGCATATCCCAGGTGATCGAAATGTACAGCTCCATGTATGGTCTCTACCAGATGAATAGCACTTCACATTGTTGAACATTGTAAGCCAAAGCCCTGTATGTTGGGGTCCACCTTACTCGCTTTAGAAATACTTATGAGGGCTGGGAAGGTGGCTCAGTGGTAGAGTGCTTGTCTAGGATGCATAAAGCCCTGGGTTCAATTCTTCAGTACCACATAAACAGGAAAAGCTGGAAGTGGCACTGTGGTTCAAGTGGTAGAGTACCAGCCTTGAGCTGAAGAGCTCAGGGACAGCGCCTAGGCCCAGAGTTCAAGCCCCATAACTGGCAAAAAAAAACAAAAGAAAAAGAAAAAATACTTGTGAAGGTCCTGTCAAGCACATTGAGAATGGCAGCAGGACACTTACTTTCTCTTGGGGAAGAGACCTCACGCCAGCCATGCAGAGGATAACTTCATTTCACGAAGTGCTAGGCAGGGCTGAGAAGGTGGCTCAGTGGTAGAGCGCTTGCCTTGCATGCCTGAGGCCCTGGGTTCGATTCCTCAGCACCACATAAGCAAAAAGAAAAAAGCCAGAAGTGGCGCTGTGGCTCAAGTGGTAGAGCGCTAGCCTTGAGCTGAAGAGCTGAGGGACAGCGCCCAGGCCCAGAGTTCAGGCCCCATGACTAGACCCCCCCCCCAAAAAAAGAAAAGAAGTGCTAGGAGTAAGGCCGGTGGGAAGGAGGACCCTCAAGGCCAGGGCTCAACATTAGAAGGAGGGTCGGGGGAGGCCTCCCCAGGCAGGACCTGGCTTCAGGGTGCATGTGGTGGCCCTCTGCCCTGCTCTCAGGTATCACTTGCATCTGCTGAGGCCCGTTGGGCACTGTCCAGCACCATGCCATAGGCCAACAAACGGCTGGTACTCCCGCCTTGAAAGCCTGCAGAGAGAAGCCCCTGACCGCAGAGTGCCCATTGAAGGTTGAGGAAGAGGTAACAGAGTAGTTGTCCTTGAAGGAGGCCCAGGATTCACAAGGAGCTCAAAGCTTAGGGACATTGCTGACAGAAAACCTGGGCTGAGGCCCAGAAGGCTGGGCAGCATAGGGACGGACATCTTGGAGGGCTGGGGTGTAGCATGGTGCTCATAGTCCTCCCAGAGCTGCAGCAGGTTTGTGACACTCTTTCCTGAAAGAAGGAGGAGAGCCAGGGAGAGGCCGGGGTCAGGGAGGTGTGCTGGGCAGTCTCCCATCGCTGTGACAAAAGGCCTGCATGATCACCTGCAGGTTAGAAGTCTTTGCTTTGCCTCACGCTGGCTTCAGTCTCTGGTTCCATGAGGCAGGAGCACAGCAAAGAACAAAGCTGCTCCCCACCGTGAGAAGAGGGGAGGGGCCAAGGTCCAGCTGCCCATCTCCCCCAAGGGCACGCCCCCAGAGACCTCACTTCCCATGAGACCCACCTTCCAAAGGTTCCACCACCTTCCAGTGGCACTAGGGAGAGGAAACTGGCCTTCAGGGCATGGGCATTTGGTTAGCATTCCAGCTTGTAGGGGTCTCGAGGACTGGGCCTGGACTAACACCTGGTCCTCTCAGCTGGCTGCACCTCCCTCTGGCTGGTAACTGACATTTAGCCAGAATGTGAGCCCCTGCCTAGCCTGTTCTGTCTGTCTGGCTGGGGGTCTGCCCAGAAAACAGTTGTCCTACCTTGAACCACTGGATGGCCTCTTGGGCAAGCGGCTGAGTCCTGGTCACTGAGCTTTCTCTGGCCTGCCTCCTCACTGGTCTGCGAGCTAGCTGAACACTGCTTCCTTCCACAGGTGGCAGAACAGAGCGCTGTCCAGACAGTCTCAGTGCGGACCAGGACCAGGGCCCTGTCCGGGGCTGCAGTCCCACAGCGGTGCCCGCCGGTGCCCCTGGTGCCGTGCTCTCACAGAGCTTTGTTTTGCAGAGTGCTTGGAAGAGGATCCTCTCCAACGTGCCAGAAATCGAAGACACCACAGATTTCTTTAAGTCGGGGGCTGCATCTGTGGACATTGTGAGGTACCGTAGAGGCAGAGGGTTCCCGTCCAGGGTATCTGTGTTGGGGCCACAAATCACAGCCCAAGTAGGCAGTAGGAAGCAACTAGTGTTTGATATTCCTGGTCCTGCAGGCCAGGGCCCCTGAGACTCAATGGGCAGACCTCAGCAGCTGCAAGTGTTAGTACCGACAGGCAGGAATAACCATTCCCGGTTGGCCTCTGTCTGCCTCCAACAGCTGCCCAGTACTCCAAGCCAGTGAAAATCCACCCTGATGCTCCGGTTGGTGGCTTGAGGCTGATAGTGAGGACTGGCACCTAACCTAAGCCTAGGGGTGGAGGGGGTCCTCCGTGGTCATATGAGTCCCAGGCTGAGGAAGGGTGGAGAGTGGGGGGGATAGCTGGACCCCCAACAAAAGGGTCAATGAGTGCAACTCCAGTAACCCCAGGTATGCCCAAGCTGATGAGTCTAACTCCTGGGGGCCTCCAGCTGGGGCAGCAGGATCATAAAGCCTGAGTGCAGTGTATGCATAGCAGGCACTGTGAGCTTTGCTCTGACTGTGAGAGCTTCTGCTTAATGAAGACAAAGGCATCAGCAACACCTGCCTCTTTCAAGTCATGCCCCGACTCCTGTAATCACCTGCCCTTCCCCTTCCTAGGATCTGTCCAGTCTCAACATGGTCAAGTTCTTATTTGTGTAAAGGGAAGGGCTCATCCAGATGCATTACTATACCCCTCCTTGGCCCAGAAGAGTCATTTAATTCAAACTGGCTTAAGCCAAATACAAAAGATAAACGTCCATAGTTAGCTGTTTTTAGTGTAGCTGATGACTCCAAAGGCTCACTGTGTCACTAACAATTGCTTAATTTTCAGGCAGCATTTGCCTTTATGGTGACGAGGTGGGTGCCACTTGGTGTGGCCGGGCCCTTTCCTTTCTTTCTCTCATCCCATGTTCTCCCCGCAGGCTGGTGGAGGAAGTGAAGGAGCTGTGTGACGGCCTGGAGTTGGAAAATGAAGATGTTTACATGGCCACTACCTTTGGGGCCTTCATCCAGCTCCTGGTCAGGAAGCTGCGGGGGGAGGATGAGGAGAGCGAGTGCGTCATCGACTATGTGAGTCCAGGGCCTCTGGATGTGTGTGGCCTCAGGCCCTGCTCTGTGGCCCTGTGGTGACCCTGGCGTGCCTGGCTGTTAGGAATCCAGGACTTCCAAGAGCCAATCCTTCGGTTTCTCCAGCTCTCCTCTGGGCAGTGTCGGGGTGGGAGGGGGCGGGGCAGGATAGTAGGCAAAGTCTGCAGGGGCTAATGCTGTCCAGCGCTCATTGCATAGGTAAATTCTATACCTCAAGACCCGAGACCAAGCTAGTCACAGGGGCTTGGTGTATTTCCTAGTGAGATAAACAGGCAACCCCGTGTACCTGGCTTATACAGAAGGAAGTGTGATAAATAACTGCAAATCTATTTATATAAAGAAACTGGAGCTTTGGTAAACTACTGATTGACAGAGGAAGGAGTTTTGGAGTAGTTTGCATGGTGGCTTGCACAGTGGCCAGAGTGGACCCCCAAGTTGCCCTAAGGCAGTGGACAAATGACCAATGAGTGTATTTCAGGTGGGACTGGCATCCAGAGACTCCACAGAGTGGCTGCAGGCAACTTGTCCAGTACTTGGAAGGCCTCAGCACCCAGCACTTCCTGTGGGCTCACTGTGAGGGGCTGCACAGCCATCCTGAGGCTACAGTGAGCCAGGATTCCAGCCAGCCATTCCGCATTAGTCTGTGCTCCTTATCTGTCCATGTTACTTAGCTGCCACCACTGCCTTCAGGATAGCTCCTGAAGTCCCAGCCCTGTGGTGTGCATAGCCGTGTGGTGCGTGCCCCCTCACATCCCTGTGTGGATGCTTGTCATCCAGGCCCACACATGACGGAGCCTGCTCAGCTGAGCCTTCCCCTTCGCAGGTAGAGTGTGCTGTGAACAAGCTGACTCTCCAAATGCCCCACCAGCTCTTCATCGGGGGCATGTTTGTGGATGCCGAGGGCAACAAGACCTATGATACCATCAACCCGACTGACGGAAGTGTGAGTGTCCGCCCCTCTCCCCCATCTGGCCTAAGGGGGCACTGCCCAGGGCTGTGCTGGGACATGCGTCTTTCAAGACATGACAGAGTCCCCGGAAAGATCTCAGCCCAGGCCTCAGGAATGGGGTTGAGTGGGGAGGAGTGGAGAGAGGACAGAGGGCTCCAAAGGGGCTTGAGCCTGCTTCTGAGATGGATAACAGGATTCACTGCCCAAGGACAGGGCTGTCACCTCCCCTCTACTACAGCAGTTAGTGGACATGAGCACCACCTTCGCTGATACATGCACACTCACACGGGCGCATTCTTCCCTCAGTGGATTTGCCACGCGTGCTTGGCAGTCAGCACTCATGCTGTGGCGCAGCACCAGATGCATGCACAGTGCACGTGGCACAGCCCTGCTCCTGTGCCTGCACGCAGCCTCTCTTCTCCCTGGTGTCACTGGATCCCTGGCAGAACAATGCACACGCTCACATTGGTCATTGGAGAGTGTTTAAAGAATGATTTCCAAAGGGACAGGCACGGTGCGGGGTACAGGGACAGAACAGATGGTGTGATACTCCTGGGACTCTAACATCAGGTATGGTTCAGACATGGGCTGTCTGGCGGGCACTCGGGCCTTGAGTGGGGAGGGCAAAGCTGACCATGGTGGCTGATGCTCTACTCTTGCCATGCAGCCCCCTGGCTGCTCTCAGCCGCATCTAGCCAGAGCTACAGCTTCTCTGTAGTGCAGGTAAGAATGGCCAGGGAGGAGCAGGGGATACGTGTGAGCATGGATCCTGACACTAGCTCAAGATCAGCAGCCTCTAATGTCTAGTCTGCTTCTCTTCAGAAATCTTTCTGAGCTGGGTGCCATTGACTAACACCTACTTAAGAGGCTGAAGTCTGAGGATTGCTGTTCAAATTCAGCCTGGGCAGGAAAGTCCACGAGACTCTAATCTCCAATTAACCACCAAGAAGCTGGAAGTAGAACTGTGATTACCAGCCTTGTGCACACTAGCTCAGGGATAGTGCCCAGGCTCCTCTGATAATCCTAGCTACTTGGGAGGCTGAGGTTTGAGAATTGCAGTTCAGAGCCATCCTAGGCAGACAAATCTGAGAGACTGTCCAATACATAGCAAAAAGCCAGAACTTGAGGCATGGCTAAAGTGGTAGAATATCTGCTATGAGCAAAAAGGCTGAGCTGAGAATGTGAAACTCTGAGTTTGAGCCCCATTGCTTGCAAAAAACAAACAAAAACAAAACAAAACAAAAAAAACTTTCCGGAGCCGGGTGCCGGTGGCTCATGCCTGTAATCCTAGCTACTCAGGAGGCTGAGATCTGAGGATCTCGGTTCAAAGCCAGCCTGGGTAGGAAAGTCCATGAGACTTTGATCTCCAATAAACTACTCAGAGAACCGGAAGTGGTGCAGTGGCTCAAGTGGTAGAGCACTAGCCTTGAGCTGAAGAGCTGAGGGACTGTGTTCAGGCCCAAAAGTCAAGCCCCATGACTGACAAAAACCAACAACAAAATAAAAACACAAAAAAACTTTCCGGCTGGACTTAATAAATTAATGGTCTCTTGGCTCTTGGTGTGAATGGCTGGCCCATAGCCTCAAAGCTGATGCATGGATCTCTTGCCCATTTGGGCTCTGTGGGACTGTGAAGAAGTGGCCAACTCCACGGCTTCACCTTTCCTTCCTTCATGAACTCTCCCTTGCCTCTGCCCCTGTTGGCCCAGCTTTCCCTACACCCTGCCCATGTGGCCAGGGATCCTCCCTAAGTGGGGCCTTGCAAGGAGTAGTGAGCCATGTCCCCAGGGAGAGCTGTCATGTCCTTGCTCCTGCCACAGGTCATCTGCCAGGTGTCCCTGGCTCAGGTCAGCGATGTTGACAAGGCAGTGGCTGCAGCGAAGGAGGCCTTTGAGAATGGACTGTGGGGGAAGATCAACGCCAGGGACCGGGGCCGGCTCCTATACAGGTGAGAGCCAGGACCCTCCTGCACCTGAGGTAAGGTGGGCCTCTTTTCTTGAGGGTCATGCAACCGAAGCTGCATTTTCCAGAGAAGGGAGGATGCCGGCAGAGAAGCCAAGTAGTCCAAGAATGCAGCCAAGGGTCTGGGTTTGTCCCCCAGCGTTGTGAGAGGAGACCAGGCCGGGCCAGCCCCGCTCTGCCGCTGTCCGCTGCAGGCTGGAGAGCCCCTCCTGCTTTTGCAGCCTGAATGGCTTTTGTGCCTATTCCTGGGGCCAGAAATTCCAGGGCAGCCTAGCAGCAGGGAACCGGAGAGAGGGGCCCACATGGCTCACACATCAACAGACTGTGGGGTTGGGGCAGTTGAAGGCGAAGGACGTGCTCAGCCTGCTGAAGTTTCCAGCCTCCTTGGAGAAGGCATGGCTGCTAGAGAGACTTGAGGCTTGTGGCTTGTGACAGACACCTCCCAGAATTAGAGATCTTGTCCTGTGAGCCTGCGCATCTCTCCCGACATGCTCTTCTGCCATCTGGTGGCTTGTGTCCTCATTACACCTACAAACCACAACAATAGTGCTCCCAACCTCTTCAGTGGAAACCCCAACTTGGGGTATATAACTTCTCATGGGCCTGGGAGCTCCCTAGTAGACCAGGTCCTGGCTCTGCAAACTCCGAGCACCCCAGAACAGGTGCCCTGGACTGGCTGTCCCACAGCTCCCAAAGGTCCCGAGGCAGGAAGCCTGACAAACCAGAGCACCTGGCAAGGTCTGCATGAGGAGGAGGGAGGAGGAGACATGCAGCAGGACCTCGGGATGGGCCAGCCAGGCATGGAGCGGGTGGCTGTTAGAAGTGCTGGCAGCTCTGCTCAGGGGCAGACCTGGGTGGGGACTGGCCATGCCACTCTGGAGGCATACTTGCCTCGGACATGACTGAGGCTGTTCCAGACCCCTCCCACCTCCTTAGTAGCTGGGTCCCCTCTGAAGGATACCATCCTGAGTTTCAGCTGCCACAGCAGCATGTCTGCCAAGGCCATGGGGTGACAGCACTGGAAAGCTCAGGCTCATGATGGCAGAAGGCACACTTGGCGTCTTCCCCCCCCCCCCGCCCCCCATCCTCCTCCTCACCCTTGCTATGGTGCTGGGCTGCCCCTCCACCTCTGTGATGCCGGCTCAGAAGCAAGCCCCCTCCCTACCCCAGACTGCCCTGTCAGTCCATCTGTGCTGACGTTGTTCAAGGACAGGAAGGGTGCTTCCTGCAGCCAGTGGAACCAGTGAGCACTCGGAGTGTAAATCTCTGAGCAGTGGACTATCCACAGGTTTTTCAGGAAAGAAGACCAGAAGGGTTTCATTCTGATGACAGCTGGCAAGCTAAGCCTTCTTGTCCCCTCTTATGGGTGTGAGCCTGAGGTGGTACATCTGAGTGTGGCAGAGCGGGGAGTGGAGGGCAGGGGCTGAGAGGCGAGACTGTTGCAGGCCTGAGCCAATCTCCTGCTCCTCCTCACCCTTGGTCAGGTTGGCAGATCTCATGGAGCAGCACCAGGAAGAGTTGGCCACCATCGAGGCCCTGGATGCAGGTGCTGTCTACACACTGGCCCTGAAGACCCACGTGGGCATGTCCATCCAAACCTTCCGCTACTTTGCCGGCTGGTGCGACAAGATCCAGGTGGGTGTGGGCTGCCACATGAATGTAAACACACGTACGGAGAGTTCCAAGCATGGCACAGGCCTGTGTGCAGAAAACCAAACCACAGAAGCTGAGAGCGTAAGGGCCATGCCCTGCACCTCCCACCACCTGGGGTTTTACGGTTGGGAATTCCAGGCAGGCTTCACAAAGTTCTTTTTGTGTGTGTGTGTGTCCAGTCGTGGGGCCTGAACTCTGGGCCTAGGCGCTGTCCCTCAGCTCTTCAGCTCAAGGCTAGCGCTCTACCACTTGAGCCACAGCGCCACTTCCGGCTTTTTTCTTCTTATATGGTGCTGAGGAATCGAACCCAGGGCCTCAGGCATGCAAGGCAAGCGTTCTACCACTGAGCCAACTTCCCAGCCCGCTTCACAAAGTTCTATGCCAGAGTCTCTCAGGTGTATCAGATAACTAGCTATTAAAAATGTACTTGTGCCATTAGTCAGGTGCCAGTAGCTCACGCCTGTAATCCCAGCTACCTAGGAGGCTGAGATCAGAGGATTGTAGTTCAAGGCCAGCCCGGGCAGAAAAGTCCCCCAGAGACTTATCTCCAATTAACCACTCAAAAACCAGAAGTGGTTCCCTGGCTCAAGTGGTAGAGTGCTAGCCTTGAGCACACAGAGGCTCAGTGACAGCACCCAGGCCCTGAGTTCAAGCCCTACAACTGGCCAAAAAATAAAATCATACTTGTCCTGGACACCAGTGGCTCTGTAATCCTAGCTACTCAGGAGGCTGAGATATGAGAATCATAGTTCAAAGCCAGCCAGGAAAAGTCTTTGAGACTCAAGAAAGTCCTTGAGACTCTGATCTCCAATTAACCAGCAAAAGCTGAAAGCGGAGCAGTGGCTCAAGTGGTAGAGTGCCAGCCTTGAGCACAGAAGTTCAAGGAGCACACTCAGACCCTGAGTTCCAGTCACAAGACCACATAAAGAAGAAAGAAGAAAAAGAATATACTTGCTTTGGGCATGATGGCTTATGCCTGTAACCACCTACTGAGGAGGCAGAGGTTGAAGAATTAGTTTGTGGAGGTTTGGAGCCAATCCAAGCAAGAAAGGCAATGAGACTTTTATCTCTAACCAGCAAAAAGCCAATTAAACGTGGTAGATTGCTAGCCTTAAAGCAAAAAAGCTAAGTGACAGATCCCAGGCCCTGAGTGTAAGCACTAGTATGGGGGGGGGGGGGGGAGGTTAACAAGTAACACATGCCTGTGTTCCCAGTTACTGAGGAGCAGCGCCAGGAGGATTGCTGGCCAAGCCTGACCCCAAGCAAAAGCAGAAAGCCCTATCTGAATAACAAAAAGCAAAAAGGGCCGGGGATATGCCTGTAAGGGACCCTGAGTATAAACCCTCATACCATTTTAAAAAACCTGAGACAACTTATAATATAGAAAAAAGATGTGCTTTGGTTCACAGATTTGGAGGCTCCAGTGTAAGATCTGTTGGTTCCACTGTAGCTCATCACACTGGAATGCAGGACAGAGCAAAGCTTATTCTAGCAGCTGAGAAGCAAAGAGAAAGGAGGGATGAGGTCCCACTGCCCCCTTTAAGTATGAACCCCCAGTAACAACACCTCCTACCAGGCCTACCTATTAAGGGTCTTACCACCTCTTGTAGCTCTACCTGGAGACTAAGCCTGGAACACATGGGCCTTTGTAGGACCTTCAAGATTCAAATCGTAGCAAGGAATTAAGCTGAAGGCTGGACTGGGCCTCACCTTGAGGCTCTGAGAGAATTTGTTTTCAGTCCATTCAGGTGTTGGCTGTGTCAGATCTCTGTGGTTTTGGGTTCGGGCCTTGATAGCTGCAGGGCCTGGGCTGCAATCTCTCTAGGGTTGTAGGTCTCCATGCTACTGTCTGTGGCCCTTACCCAGCGCCCTCATCTCCTGGTGGTAGTAGTCACTATGAGCTTTGAAGCTCAGTCCTGTTCTTCCTCCACAAACTGTCTAAAGCATTCTGCTCCTGTAGCTATTCTAGGCCCATATATATCTTGTCCCCATCCGAAGGACCCAGGGGGCACATCATTGAAGGAGAGAGAGCTCACCATATTTCCAGGTCCCAGAGATCAAGCATGGGACCTTGGAAGGTGTCTGGGCAGGCCCATGACCGCACTGTGGCTCTCCTTTCCATCAGGAGCTGAGTGGCTCAGGTTAGGAGGATCATGAGGGTGGTTGTCTGGTGCCTGCTCCCCATGCTGATGCTGACTACTTTCCAATGGAGCCACCTCCTTCTGACCTCCTAGGGCGCCTGGACCCACTCAGCACTGTTTCCAGGGGCAGTCTGGCCTCCCAACCACGTTGGCGCTCTCTGGGGCAAGATATCAAAGCCAGAGGCCTTGTCCTAAAAGGACCAGCCTTCAGGCCACGTTGCCTGCCAGGCCCAGAGTGGAGCCAGCACATAGCTCCTCTTGGCTTTCCACCTTCCCTCTCTGAATTGTCAGATGGCCCTGTCATGCTCAAGCTGGCAGTTTTGGCCTCCTACCTGGTTGCACTCTGTGTGTGTGTGTTTGTGTGTGTGTGTGCGCGTGTGCATGTATGTGTGGCGGGGGTGTGTGTGTCCATGTTCAAACAAAGCCTTACTTCTGAGCCCCCAGTAGGAGCTGGCTGCCTAGAGCAGGCAGAGTAAGAGCTCTCCAGCGATGCTCACTGCTTCTTCTAGGGCTCCACCATCCCCATTAACCAGGCCAGACCCAACCGCAACCTGACCTTGACCAGGAAGGAGCCTATCGGGTGAGTCACTGCCAGCATGAGGCATAGCCATGTTGGCACTTTGCAGGTGATATGCCAGGTGACCCCCACACCAGCCTGCAGCTATCACATCCCCATGATACATATTTATGGGACAGCTATCCTGTTGCTTCTCAGGTACCTGGCCTGTGCCAACATGGTTGTAATGACTTCATACATACCTCGTTTCATGAAGCCTGCAGTAACACTGTGTCAGTCGGGGTCACAGACACACCAGGAGCCCACACATCTCGCAATCAGTCAAGTTGACAACCACAATTTGCCATCACAACTGTGAAGGGACAGCAGCAGAGTACAAATGCAGTCTAGTCAGCCATAAATCTGGCCATCAGGCACTTCATCTCACCACCAGAGGGCGCAGGGCGGCAGTACAGAGAAGGCCGCACACCCCACCCGCAGAAGGGGCTGTGGGTCCCCTTGGCTGTGAGCTCTCTGAAGCCACTGACTGCTGAAGCAAAGCCGCACAGGTGGGAGGTCACAGAGCCGGGCTTCAGCAGGGCCGCTTCCTTCTGAGCGCTGCCAGGGCGATTCTGGCGCAGGCTTCTCCTGGCCTGTGGCATGCATTAGTTTTCTATCACCGTGACCAAATACCACAGATAATTTCATAGTAGAAGCTGTTTCTTTTGGCTCGTAGTTTCAGAGGCCCGGTTGCTGTGGGCCTGTGTTGGTGCAGCACACCCTGCGGGGTCCACATGGACTGCCATGGCAGCTGGACACCTAGAGAAACCGGGCCCAGGTTCTAGTACCCGCATCAAGGAGTGCCCTTCCCCCATGAGGCTCCACCTCCCAGTGGCACCAGGCTAGCAACCAGGCCTTCCGCACATGGGCTTTGGAGGCCACGCCAGAGCCTTGTGGCCCCTGGTAGTTGGCTGGTGGCCTTCTTGGGCTTTGGAAGCCTCCTCTGATGCCTGTCTTCATGTCCCCTGGGCCTTGCTCCCGTGAGTGCCCCGTCACATGACTTTCCTTCTCTAACAACAGTATCCATGTTGGGTCAGGGGCCCACCCTATCCCAGTGTGTCTCCAGCCTGGCTTGTTCAGTCGTTAACAGCTGCAAAGCGGTCAACATAGGGGTTTGAGAGAAGGGACACAATTCACCCATAGCTGGGGGGCTCTCCTAACATGTCCCCCAATCCCTCCCACTGTCCCCACTGACAACACCTCACTTCCCTGAGGACATGTGCTATCCCCATACTCTGCTTCCTGCTGCCCACCTTGTCCCTGGGGCCTGCTCTCAGGTGATGTGCAGGCTCCCCACCAGCCCTGTGCCTTGCAGGCCCAGGCACATGCTTTCCGTACCAGCCTCCGCCGGGCCCTTGTTCCTCCATGGGACTGACCCCTTCCTGGAAGACCCTCTGCCAGGCCTCCGTGGCCCACGCTGTGGCCCTGAGCCTCTCATGTCCTCCTGGGCCATGTTCTCCCCTGTGTCTGCTACCATGCACACCTTACCACTGCCTGTGTGCTGGGCAGACCCATCCATTGTGTAGTGTCTAGGATAGAAAAGGCAGGCATGAACAGGTGAGGCCCTGGGAGGGTAGGTGGGAATCGGCAGGTCCACTCTGGGTACCAGGGCCCAGAAGGACCAGGCCCCGCCGCTTTGCTGACAGGGTCTGTGGCATTGTCATCCCGTGGAACTACCCCCTCATGATGCTGTCCTGGAAGACAGCGGCCTGCCTGGCAGCAGGGAACACGGTGGTGATCAAGCCAGCCCAGGTGAGCAGGGCCTGGAGAGCACTGGGACTAGAAGGCGGAAGCAGGGGTAGCGGTGGGACCTGGCCTCCGTGGCTACGGGCACGTGTGGGTTTGAGCTGGCCAAGCTCTCTGTCCTGCAGCAGGCGGTGGGAAGTGGCTGGCTGTGCTGGCACACGCAGGGGCTGCTGGGCAGAGGCGGGCTTCCTGCATACATACCAGCACTGGGCAGTCTTCTGCTCAGCTCCCTGTGGTCCACCTTGTCCCTTGGGGCCTGCTGGGTGTGTGGTGAGGGAGGGGGGTTGTGTGTGGGGTGAGGTGCAGAACAGCAGAAACTTGCTCCATGTCCCTTGACTGGTGCCACACTCCAGCAGTGGTCTGTTAATAAAACAGCCTTGTCCCTTGTTTGGCTTCAGAGATTGTAAGTCCGGGAGGGAAGGGCTCTGCTTCACAGAGAGCAGGAGAGGCGGGGCTCCAGGGACCAGGAGCGTGCTTGCAGGGGTGGTGACACCCAGGCTGCGTCTTCATGTGTACACGGATGGTCACTGCCCCTTGGCTGCCTGCCCCCAGAGCACTGGACAGATCTGGAGGCCACCCACGCTTCAGTTTCTTTTGATGCCCAAGGAATTAACTAGATCACAAAAAGCAATGATGATAGCCGACATTTGTAGTATTCACCCTGAGTCAAACAGTCCCTGGCATTTCTAACACGTAGAACCCACTGTCCAGTAATCTATACACATTGGCTAGTTTGGGCTTTGCAACAACCCGCCCTGCAGCATGGGGCTGCGGCCTCTGGGGGGGGTCCTCCCTCCCTCAGCCTCACAGCTCCCCCCACACTCAGCCAGCAGTGGCCTTGTGGGGTGGGAATAACCTAACCTTGACTGGGAAAGATGCCTAAGCCAGACATTTACAGACGCTAGAACGGGAAGATTGCCTGAGACCCCGAAGGGCTGGGAGAATGGCCTCGCTTCTGATGTCCAGAAGCGGAGCAGTAATCTTTTGGGGAGCTGAGTCATCTGGCATTCCCATGGGCAGCGGCCACTCAGGCTGCACCTCCTCCAGGCAGCCTATGTCAGCGTAATGCTGGCAGCTTCCAGAGCAAGGGAGATGCTACTGAGGAGCTCGGAGAGGCGCTGCCTGGCATGGGAGCCAAGCTCTGCACGTGGGTCTGTTAGCTAGCCTTGGCTCTGTTCCTTGGAGCTCAGCATAAGCAAACCAAAAAGAAAAGAGTGCAGGAAGGAGGCCAGGCCTGGCCAAGGGGGTGCTGCACCCATGGCAGAAGGTAGAGTCAGAGGTTCTCAGGCCCTTGTTCCCACCGGGGACTGTGAAGAAGCTGGCTGGGCTGGCAGTGCCCCCAAACCATGGTGGGCCAGGCATACAGCCTCCCTGGGGTCTTCTGGTGCCTGACCCACTGCTGTGTGGGTTGCTGGGAAAGGAAGGCAGGGGGAAGGCAGCATCCTGTGTCTAACCTCTTCTTGCTCACTTCTCCTCCCTGCCAGATGACCCCACTCACAGCCTTGAAGTTTGCAGAACTGACATTGAAGGCTGGCATTCCTAAGGGCGTGATCAACATCCTTCCTGGATCTGGTAAGGGTTGTGGGGTAAGGCAGGTCTGGGACTTTGGGCAGTGGGAGACATACTTGGCCAGAGCAGGGCCTTCTGGGTAAGAGCAGCCTAGTAAGAGCCAGAGCGGATGGCCAGCCTGGGGTAGGGAGAAATTTGCACCTGGATATATCTCAGCTTTCAGATACCTTCCAAATATTCTGGAATACATTCAGGCCATTGAAAGTAAGAGAGTTTATCTGGAAATTCTAGGCGTAAGGCATCGGAAGGTGGTAGAGTATTTACTGCCATTTAGTTTCTTCTGTGGTGGTGTCTAGTTTATAGGCATAGCCATCTTTGGTAGATTTTAAATCTGTCGACACAGTAAATTTTTATTTGTGACTAACTTGAAGTTTAGTCAGCTCATTTTGTGCTGAATTTCAGAAAGTCATACAAGGGAGTTACAAAATTTACTGTGTCCATCTAAGTGGCCAGTGTTTCTTAGTTGTGGTCACCCTTTCTATCATTCCCCCATCCTAGCTGCTCTTCCCTTCAGCTCACTGCCCACTTCCTTGATCATATATGGACATTAAGAATTCAGGTTGTATATATCCCTCTTCCCTTTATTTTCTGTGCTTTCAGTAAAGAAAGCACAGATTCATTCTCCTCCTTTTTGTGCTATTACCACGTTTCATATGTATATAACATTTCTGTGTTTTAAAACATTGTACATAGCTACAGATGTTACTTTGCTATGTAGATCCATTGAACAAGTTAGGGGGGAAAAAGAGCAAATATCTACCAAAGACTTACACGAGCCTGTGATGTCATTCTGCTGCCTTCCTCTGGCCTGTGAGTTGGAGTTTCTGCCTTTCCCTCGTTTGAAGCGGAGAATCCCTCACGTGGGGAACGGGAGAGTGGACCGTGCCTGAGGACAAGCCCTCGGGGCTCTGGCTGAAATTTACTAGATTCTCTTGAGCACCTGTTTCTTCACTGGCTGTATGCCTGGAGGGAATTTTCTAGACTTGCCAGTTTTTAAATCATTGTAATGAGTGTGGGTGCTTCCCTGGGAAGCTGTTCACAGGGCTCCTCGGGCTAGCCTCCCAGAGGTACACCTGGTCCTACCCTGGAATATGTCATCTATGTTTTTATTTTTCCTAAGATATGATTGTAGTTTTGAGCATCTCTTTGACTTGGTACATGCCAAGTACATTTTTGAATTTCCCAAGAGTTTTTTTCAAAGCAGCACCTTGTGTTGTTTATGTATTCATTTGCTAAATTATCAGAAGTAGCCTGGTGCTGATGGGTCATGCCTACAGTCCTGTCCATGTGGAAGGCTGAGAATGGGAGGATTCAAGGCCAGCCTGGTCAGAAAAGTTCACAAGACCACATCTGAGCCCATAGCTAGACACAGTGTGTCCCCAAGCTATGTGGGAAACTGAGATTGGAGGATGGTAGTTCCAGGTGACCTGGACAGAAAAAAATCATGAGACTCTGTTTTTCTTGAGGGAAGATGGACTTGGTGGCAATCTATGAATCTAGTGACAACAGAAAGCCTAAAAGTAGACAGATTGGGCCTTAGGCATGCACACGGGCAGGAAGCAGAACTTGTCCTAAAAGAGCCAATGAAAACATGGCAGCACGGCTCGGAGGGATCCCATCAGCCTAGCAAGTAGGCTGCTGCGTTCCACCCCTCCATACCCCCAAAACCAAACCAAACCAACCAACCAACAAAAATCCAAAGAGCCAAAACTAGTGTCATAAACCACAGAAATGTGTTGCTTCAGTCTGGAGATGAGAAGTCCAAACATAAGGCAGTGGCAGGACCATGTTCCCTTTGGTGGTTCTAGGAAAGAGTGCTTCCTGCCTGTGGACGCGAGGGCTATGTGTGGTGTCCTCGGTGCCTCGCATGTCTGTGTCTCTGGTCCTCTTTCAGATCTAAATTCTCCCTCATATGAGGCCCCCAATGACTTTGGACTAGGGCCTGCTCCACAGGCCTCATCTCAGCTAATTGTATCCAAGTTCATTCTTTCCTCAGATAAGGCCACGTCTGGTACTTGGGGTTAGAATGAATGCATGGATTTGAGTGGGAATATACCAACCCATAGTATACTATTTTTTTTAATCGTTCTTTCTTGGAAGAGGTGGTGTGGCTCAAGTGGTAGGGTACTATCCTTGAGTGAAAAAGCCAGGCAAGAACACGAGACTCAGAGTTTAATCCCCAGTACTGGCACACGCAGAAAAATAAAAATCTTCCTAGAATGAGAGATTTCTCATCTCTCAATATGATACCTTTAATACGTATTTCTTAGACAGCTTTAAACAATGCTATGGTTGTTGAATATACTTTATTATTTAAAGCAGTTTAGATCAACAGAAAACTTGAGCAGAAAGTTGAGTCCCCAGGACCTCCCATTCTACGCCAGCGTGGTGCAGTTGTTACGTGGGTACCCACCCGCACCACCTGAACAGGCAGCGACCCCAGCTGGCACTAGGGTCATCCCTGACTGGTGTTACACATGCTGCAGCTTGCACAGACACGTAGCAACATGCATCCTCCGTTATAGTCCATACAGTCTACTCTCACTGCCCTCCTCCCTCCTCCACTGCAGCTTACACTGTCTAGTCTTACCGCTCTAGGGCAGCCCCCACCCCCATCCTTGTGCTTCTAAGTTAGCCTTCCTTCCTCACGGTTGCTTTGCTGCCTCCAGATGTCAGGCTGCATGGTGCCTTTCAAACTTGCTTCTTGCATTTATCAGTGTGCATTTATGCTTTCTCCATGGTTTTTTTTTTTTTTTTTTTGTCGATCGTGGGGCTTGAACTCTGGGCCTGGGCGTTGTCCCTCAGCTCTTCAGCTCAAGGCTAGCGCTCTACCACTTGAGCTACAGCGCCACTTCCGGTTTTCTGGTGGTTTATTGGAGATAGGAGTCTCACGGTCTCTCCTGCCCGGGCTGGCTTTGAACCGCGATCCTCAGATCTCAGCCTCCTGAGTAGCTAGGATTATAGGCGTGAGCCACCAGCGCCCGGCTCTCCATGGTTTTTGTGCCCACCTAGCTCAACTCTTCTTAGTGCTGAATATTTTGTACCCCTTCACCCAGTGAAGGATGTCTGATTTTTTTTTTTTTATGAATACAGCTATTGTAAGCAACTTCCTGGTTTCTGTATGGATGTCAAGTGCTATGTTGTATATAGGAATATTTACTTTTAAAAGAAATGGCCAGGTTGTCTCCCAGAGTGTCTGAACCCACCAAGTGGAGATCTTCACAGGTGCTCCTGAGCGCTGGCTTTGCCAGCCTGCAGTCAGGGACACAGTGGAGGCCACCAGGCAGGGGAGGAGGGCAGGACCATCAGGATGACTTCTCCACTTGAGCAGATGGGCTGCAAGCAGGGTTCCCGGCATTGGAAGCTTAGCCAGGGAGCAGGGCTGGGGGAGGTTGAGAGCTGTTTCAAATATATTGAATTTGACCTCCAGGCACACATGTCAAGTAGGCAGGATGATACATGGATCTGGGCTGCAGAGGAGCTTGGCTGGAGACACAGGTTGGGCCATGACCTACCTGCAGCCTGGCTGAGATCAGCTGAGGCGGCTCCGGGCAGCCAGGGGCACTGGGTACTTTAAGGTTGAGCAAGGAAGGCCATGGAAAAAGAGCCAAGAGAGAAACAAGAGGCTGACAAGGAGAGCAGGAGTCAGAGGCCAAGTCAGGAAAGAGCCTTTAAGCAGGCAGAGGGTGTAGGAGCTGAGGCGGCCACAGCGGGGAAGGCCACCCGAGGTCTTACGGGAGTAGAGAATCGGTCAGATCCCAGACGCATGCCATGGTGTGGGTGAGGCCCCGGGTCAGAGCTTCCCTACCACTGTGCAGGGCTGGTCCTTCCCGAGGCCTCTCCCCTGCCTGGTAGAGGCTATCTCCTCCCTGCTCCGCCTGCTCCCTGCCCCTCTGTGTATGTCTGTCCATGTCCCCGTCTCCTCTTGCATGTGGACACTACTCACTTGGGTAGGGCCCACTTAATTTAATCTGATTATTCCTTTAAGGACAGTGCCTCCAAATTCAGTCAGGTTCTGGGGGGTCAGGACCAATATTTAAGTGTTAGGGGACACAGTTCAGCCTGTAACAGGAGGCAAGGCTGGTGTGTCCAGGCCCTAGGGGCAGTAACCCTGCAGGGAGCGTGGCACAGTTCTGGCCTTGGGGGGGGGGGAGCGGCTAGGCTGTGCCTTCCCCAACACCACAGGGCTGCCCTGATCTCCCTGCTAAAACCCCCCAGGCTCGCTCACTGGCCAGAGACTCTCAGATCACCCCGATGTGAGGAAAATTGGGTTCACAGGCTCCACCGAGGTGGGAAAGCACATCATGAAAAGGTAGGTGGCTGGGGTGAGGGAGAGGACTCCTAGCTGTGGTGTTGGCAGGTGGGCGGTGCTGGCCTGTCAGCTCAGTCCTGTTCTTGGGCCTCAGTGGGCACCTCCAGTGTCTGTGGGCAGTGGTGCCCACTGACTTCGCTTGCCTGTGCAGGATTGGGAAGCTTGGGGGCACCATGTTGCCTGGCATGGCTTCCCAGCCCCTCCACCCCACTGCGTAAAAATGGAGCTGATACAAATTACAATGTGCTCTGTCAAAAACTCAGTACACGTGAGCCTGGCACAGTGGTGCACACTTGTTACTCCAGCACCTTGGAAGCTGAGGCAGGAGGACCCTGAGTTCCCCTGAGTTCGAGGTCAGCCTGGGCTACATAGTGAGACCATCTCAAAACAAACAACCCTCCACACAAGAGTACTCAGCTGGGGCTGGGGGTTTAGCCCAGCGGAAGGGCGCCCGCCTGGCGCGCCCAAGGCCCTGGGTTCGGTCCTCAGCCCTGGGGGGAAAAAAAAGAGTACTTAGCTATCATTTGCATCTTGATTACAATTTGAAATGATATTTTTGATTAGATGCATAAAAAGTTGAAGTCTTATTACACTTGCCCTCCCTCATCTCCATGGGTTCTGTATCTGCAGATTTAAGCAATTGCATATGAAATATTTGGGAGAAGTTTGTTGGGCTCAGTGTGCGGCCCCAGTGGTAAAGTGCTTGCCTAGAGTGTTCAGGCTCTAGGGCAATCTCCCGTATGAAAAACAAACTGTCCTGAAAGTGGACAGGCTTCCCCCCCCCCCCCCATGATTCTTCCTTCAATAGAGTGCAGCAACTATGTGTGCTTGCACTGTATTGGGGCAGGCACCCTGGGGGTGGTGTGAGGTACAGGAGCACACTCTGCTATGTGCAAGTACTAAGCGGGCTGTATCCACAGGAGCGCGGGAAGCCATCCCCAGATAGACCGAGGGACCACAGTCTAGGGTTCCACTCACCTGGTTCTTTGCAGTTTTCTTTTTCATGCAGCTACCGCAAACATCTCCCTCATTTACATGGCCAGTATTTGAGGCTTTTACTCTGAACATGACCCTAGAGAGCCTTCACTCATGTCTTAGCCTTAGTCCTCCGCCTCAAATGGACTTTGTTCTGTTCCTGGCCTGTCACTAACCCATGGCAGGACATAGGCCCAGCCCAGCCTCCCTCCCCAGCTCGATGAGGTCAGGCTCTGGCCTGTGTCTCCCACCTGTGTGGGCAGGTAAAGGGGCTCCCCACAGGCTGCTGGAGCACTGGCCAGTGCTGCCTGCCCTTCCCCATCCCCACCTTACCTTTGCGGAGGCTGGATCTCAGGCTGGGGTTTGGCCTCTTGGTTCTGGGTGATGGTGCAAGCAGAGCTCAGCCAGGTACTCTGGCTTGTGGCACTCCTCCCATTGTGGCTGTTAACTGAGCGAATTTGAGAACAGTATCACTGCACCTCGTGTCTTGTCCATGAGCACAATGATCTGTGATCCCCAGCTCCTCTGATTGTACTGTCACTACAACACAGAGACGCTGAAGTGTCTGCCCACCGCAGCCACGCCAGCTGTCGGGGTGGTTTTGTATGTGCTTGTTTGACATTGAGCACCAGGTGCACCCCAGGCATAGTGTTAGGCACTGTGGATGTCCTATGGTAGGGCTATGTCCTGGCAGTGGAGCTAAGAGCAGCAGACAGGAGTACAGGGCTGGTGGCTTTTTATGGGCTGGCAGGCAGCTGTGAGCAGGGAACGCACCGCAGGGGCCTGTGGGGAGCCGTGGAGGGTGTGGCTTCTGAATAGAAGGCAGCCACTGTGGATGCACGAGGGGCACGGGCCAGCTCTTACCCTTTGGAGAACAGTGTGCTTCGGACCTGCCCCTGGGCCCCCAGGAGGGAGTCCGCTGTGCGTGGGGCTCTCCAACCTTGGCCCTAACTCTGGTGCTTTCAGCTGCGCCCTGAGCAATGTGAAGAAGGTCTCCCTGGAGCTGGGCGGGAAGTCACCCCTCATCATCTTTGCGGATTGTGACCTAGGCAAGGCTGTGCAGATGGTAAGGGCTGAGCAAGGGGTAGGGTGGGCACGGGGAGGCGCGGGGGACAGGAGTCTAAGCGTTACCAAAGCAGCACAATGGGAGATGGCACAGGTCTTCTAAAACGTGTTCTGAAGAAGTCTCGTGGCTGTCAGGACCGCTGGATCAGCTGCCTGAGTTGGGAACGCGAGCCAGGCCCCATCTGTCCTGAAGCAGCGCACAGTGTTTTCCTTCAGGAAGCAAGCCAGCTCTGGAGCCTGCTGGCAGCTGCCAGCACCTCCAGCTCTGCTGGAGGCCCTGCATAGTGCCCACCCACCTGGCAGGGCCTGCATGCCCGGACCTAAGGAATGCTTCCCTCCTGGGGGTTGCCGGTGCCCTCTGGAGGACTTGGAGCAGTGCTGTGAGTGGCCCATGCCACCACAGTGGGGACAGTTCTTCCCATGACTATCACCGCTGATGCCTGGCTCCCGCTCCACTCCTGGGGAGCAGACAAGTAGGGCAACTGCCCACCAGGTCCCTGAATAGTCCCCAAACTCCTACCCAAGCCCCACTCAGCCCTAGAGGAGGAAGTGATATCCCGGCCTCCTGACATGGGGCAACTGTGACCGACACAGGACTTGGTTCACAGTCTCCTTGTAGATATCCATCCCAGGACCCCAGCCCTGGTCAGTGGCAAGGCCATTGCCGGGCTCTAGGCTGTGACATCCTGGGAGAGGCTGGTTTCCAGGGGAGCCGGGCCGGACTCGGCCCTCCTGCCTCAGGCCCACAGAGGGCTCCCAGGTTTCTACGGGGCCCTGTTCTGAATGCCGGCGTGGAGTTGCCACCAGCTGTGGCCCTCTGTGTCCTGACCCAGCCCCTGCTCTGTGCTCACACTGCCTGGGTGCCTCAGGGCCCAGCAGAGCCACACTGGCTCCTCACTCTCCACTCTGCGCTGGTGGTGCGCAGCGGGGACGCGGACGCCATTCCTCCTCCCTCTCATATCCTGCTTTGGAGGATTGTGGGGGACGCTGGGTCCACAGCAGGTGGCCTCACTACCCCGCCTCCCACCAGGAGGGGCAGTGGCCCTGGCAGAGAGCCAGGGCAAGACCTAGCCGGACTGGTAACCCGCACCCTTGCCCACTCTCTGAAGGGGATGAGCTCCGTGTTCTTCAACAAAGGGGAGAACTGCATTGCGGCTGGGCGGCTCTTCGTGGAGGACTCCATCCATGACGAGTTTGTGCGGAAGGTGGTGAGTTCTGCCCCCGTCCGCAGCCCGCAGGCAGGGATGGCCCCTCCACGTGTGTTCACCATCATCTAGCCTGTCACGGCACCTGACTGAACCTCCCCAGCCATCCCACATTCGGGAGTCACCGAGAGTCAGTTCCATGAGAGCAGATGCAGGGTCAGCGTGGGCCACCGTGCTGTGCCAGTGCCCCTGCTGGTCACACACCTTCCTCTCCCTCCCCCTTACCTTCCTCCCGCCACACCTCCACTCCCTTCCCTGCCCACCACTGGAGGCTGGGTGCCCTGCCCATTCAGGATGCTTGAGGCCTCCTGTGGGGAGGGAGGGTTGGAACCAGAATGGGGTAGACTTTCTCCAGGACCATTGGTGAGCACAAAAACTGCAATCACAAGATGGGGCAAGGTTGACCTTTGTTGGGAACAGCGGTGTGCAAAGCAGAGGTGACCGGAGGACCTTGTGCAGGTGGAGGAGGTTGGAAAGATGAAGATCGGCAATCCCCTGGACAGGGACACCAACCACGGGCCACAGAACCACCAGGCCCACCTGAGGAAGCTGGTGGAATACTGCCAGCGTGGCGTGGAGGAAGGGGCCACGCTGGTCTGCGGAGGGAAACAAGTCCCTCGCCCAGGTCAGTCAGAGTACACCAGCCTACTTGGGTAAACAGAGGCAGCCAGTTCCAGCTGGAGGTAACTGACGGCCAAATTAGGTGAAGACCCAGCTCGCAGACTCCATCTGGAACCTTGTACGGTGGGCCTTGCTATCTGGACACCTGCCAGGTCAGGTGTGGACTGACAAGTAGAGGAGGCCAGGAGGGCTGCGTTCCCCAGCTCTGTGTCTGCCTGTGATGCACTGGATGTTGGCAGTTTCTCGCCCACGGCTGCAGTGGGGACAGGCCCAGGGGCTGCACACCAGGGCGCCCACCTGTTCTCAGATCGGTGTCCCTAGATCAGGTCTGTGTGGTGTGCTTTGTCTGGATGCAGAGATGCTCTCTCATCTCAGCTCCATCACTACCAGCTCTGTGGACTGTGGCCTTGGGCCCTGTGCAGCACTTTGTGGAAATGGCTGTGAGGATCCTGGAACCCTCCCAGGGAAGAGAGCTGTCCACACAGTGCCAGCCAGCGCTACCAGGCCTGGAGGGAAGGAGGGATCTAGAGGGACCGCATCGCCTGTGTCCCACAGGCCTCTGTCTCACCTGCAGGCTTCTTCTTTGAGCCAACTGTGTTCACGGATGTGGGGGACCACATGTTCATTGCCAAGGAGGAGTCCTTTGGGCCCATCATGATCATCTCTCGGTTCGCTGACGGGTAGGCATCTGGCCAGGCCCCAGGCCCGCTCTTCCCTGTGTGGCGGGGCCCTTTGCGTGAGCCTCAGAAGGTGGTCCGTGGCAGCCCGGGGACTCAGGAGGAAGCCTGACACCCCCTTGGGGGTCCTGCAGGGCACCTCTGTCCTAGCCACCAGGGATCTGACTCCTGGGAGGAGCCGTGGCCAGGAAAGCTTCCAGGGCCACTGTGTGAAAGGCAGCTTCCTCCTGCCCTGCCCCTCCCCAGGCTGTCTCTCCTACTGCCTTGTATAGCATGCCAGGTTCTGTTCTGAGGATATGGTGTCACGTGCTAAGCCACATAGCCTGGGTGGCCACCGTGCCGGCTCTCTCTCAGGAGCCCCCCTGTGCTGGGCTGCGTGATGACCCCAGCTTGGCTTCTGCTGGGGCCTCCAGGGTGCCTCCAGGGGCCTCCAGTGCTACCTGGGCTCATGGCCTTCTTCCAGGCTCCACAGGGAAGCATGGGGCCCTACACTGGCACCTGGGCTTTCCACACACCCGCTGGAGGGTACAGGGCTCCTCAGGACTCCCAACACATTCTGCCTGCCGTAGTCTCTGTCCAGCAACCCCCAAGGCTGGCAGGTGAAAGGGGAGAGCTAGGTTCCACTCGCTGCAGAGCGGGAACGGCTCTTTGAGTGCATTCATCTTCCGAGCTGCCTTGTCCTGGCTCTCGCTTTTCCCGCTCTCCTCTGGACTGTGCAGTACCTTTATGCAAATTGTAAAGCAGTACTTCAGCCGCTGACCCCAAAATACCAACTGTCCAAAGCCAGTGACCTTCTCAGCATGTGCTTATTTTATTAGCACAGAGACTTTCCTGCCATATACCAAGCAGATTTTGTAATAGGCCAGAGCTGGGTCTGGTGGAGGCATGCCCAAGTGTCATATGATCTTCCAGCCCTGCTGGCCTCCTTTCCCTGTCCAAACACCAAGGGCTTCCGATGTTCTTGAGGGTCCTGGTTCACTGTGAATCTGCCTCTTCTCATCTTCCACAGCTCATTTCTTCTTGAGATGGGGTTCTCTGTTGCCTAGCATGGCCCCAACCTTCTGAGCTCAAGGATCCTCCCACTTCCTTAAGTGCTAGATTACAAGTGTGCCCACTGCCTGTGTGTTCTTCCTCACCTTCGCTCTTTGGTCTCCCATGCCCTGTCTCCTGCACACTGGCTTTGATTCCTGGACATTTTTCTCCTTTTCTAGGTCAGTGCTTGTGACAGGGAGCACGGGCCGGCTGGGCCCCCTGGATGGAGCGCAGACTGCACTTTCCTGGCCCAGTGTCCAGGGCCAGGGCCCCTCCCGGCCTCCCTCAGGCAGGTCTTGGTTTTCCCCACAGGGACATGGACACTGTGCTGTCACGGGCCAACGCCACAGAGTTCGGCCTGGCCTCTGGCGTTTTCACCCGGGACATCAACAAGGCCCTCTATGTCAGCGACAGGCTCCAGGCAGGCACTGTGTTTGTCAACACCTACAACAAGACCGATGTGGCTGCTCCCTTTGGAGGATTCAAGCAGTCTGGATTTGGCAAAGACCTAGGTAGCCTTCATGTTGCTTTCCTTTATTCATTCAACGAACAGCTGTTGAACTGCCTAATCTGGGTCTATTCCCAGGACTGATTGCTGCATGGAGCAGGGTGGCTGCTGGGAGATCTGTGCTTCCCAGGAGGGGGTGGAGATTCTTAAATCAATGAACAAAGACCCTACAAACAGCAGGAGCGCAGGGAGAAAGCATGTGAGCGAGGCGACTCTCCAGGGACAGAGGGTCCCCTTTGAGGGGTGGCACTGCCCTGAGAGCACAAGGGAGGCAGACTTGGTCATGTTCAAAGCAGAGGGAGCAGCCATGGTCTTGGAGCTGCAGAAAGGCAGAGGTGGCCGGTGGGGTGGAGGCACAGAGAGGTGGGGAGGACTGAGAGGCTGGCAGGGCCAGATCTCCTGGCCTCGGGCATTAGATCTGTAGATGACCCCCGGCAGGTGCTCGGCCTGCAGGGTGTGGGGTGCCTGGCTTGCTCTCCTTGTTCTGCCATGTCTCCCTTCTCAGACCTCATCCCAATCTGCTGCCTTGGAGGCCAACAGTTGGGGGCAGGCCTGACAGGCAATCTCAGCAAGGTCTAGCAAAGCAACGTGCTGTCCCAGAGGTCTGGCCAGCTCGGGGACTGCAGGGAGGTTGATCACCTTCCCTGTCCTTCAGATCCCACGGGCACCCACAGGGGCTTATGGAGGGCTACAACACTGCACGGTCCTGACACTACATATCCTCTGTGCAGTTACCTGCATCCAAGAGGTGGTGCGCACATGTGTGTGCATACACGCACCCACACGTGTATGCACACACAGCCAGGTATTCCTCCTCCCACCGTCCTTGCTGCTACCTCTCCCAGGAGCCTTCCTAGTGTCCACCATGGAATCCATGAGGCGCTCTGTTACTGGAAATATCCATGGCTTCCAGTGTCCAGGATAGGATCTCAGCTCCCTCTCCATGATGGTCGCTGTACCCCACAGAGGTGATGGGAGCCACGCATCATCCATTTGCTCACCATGGACACACACAGGGAGGCAGCAGCACTTGGGCCGAGGCTGGTGTGGGGCTGTCAGGCCACCAGGGACCACACACATCTGCTGTGGGGCGGAGGCTGCAGCCACAAATCCCCGCCAAGCGCCAGGCCTCGGGACCTGCCTGCTCCCCATCAGCCCCAGCTTGTCTGTCAGCCAGGACAGGAGAGCGAAAAGAGAAAGTCTGCAAGGCAGCCAGGCCCCACTGTCCCACCCGGTCTCCCTCATGACCACGGGAAGCTGGGGAAGGTTCTAGAATAACTGTCTCTGATTGGCCCTGTATTCTCATGCCTGCACTGGAGCCCTAGCCTACCGCTCACTGCAGGATCACTCTCTGGTCTCAAGTGGGGCTGGGCTGGGCAGGCGGTGCCCAGGATCCCGTCAGGTACCACATGTGTGCACCAGAACCCAAGGCACAGCTCGCACCTGTCCCACAGCCTGTGCTGTCTTGCAGGTGAGGCCGCCCTGAATGAGTATCTCCGCATCAAGACGGTGACTATTGAATACTAGTGCCAGGACTCCGTGAGAGGAAAGGCCGCAGCCACGCACCCTCTCCACGCCTGCTACCTTCACACCCCAACCCAGTGTGCACCGCCACTGCGTGGGCACGGGAGGCTTCTGCCAGCACTGTGTTGGGACAGACGGGCCGAATGAGGAGTGGTCCCAGAGCAAATAAAGACTTGGAGCAGAGCCAGCCTGCACATGTCTCTGCTGTCTGGGGCGTCCCTGCATACTCTGAGGTCATGTGGTACCCCCAAGTCCTGGTGACATTGCTTGGCCTTAGGTGAGTCAGAGAAATGCCTGTGATTTGCTGAGGCCTCCCAAAGGCTGGACCTGGGGGGGAATTCTGGGTGCCGAGGCTTGAGAACAGTCAGGCCCTGGGAAACACAGGAGATGGGATTGGCAAGCACACACTCAGTCCCCCAGCAAGGACCCAAACCCTCTCCACCTGTGGCTGGACTCTGACTGGCCTGCCAGGCCTGGGCTGGAGTCCCTGTCCTTACCCTGTCTTGTCCCTCCAGTGCTCCTTACGCTCCTTGGCCCACTGCCAGTGTTTCTTCCTGTGCCCTCACCCCATAGGAGCCGGGTGCCCTCTCCTTGACCCCTACCCTGTAAGTCCCACATAATATGCTAGCAGATCACTGTTGCCTCAGTTTCCCCCACACACACTCATGCTCTCCTTGGCATCCCAGCCCCCTCCAGCACCTGGCTTTGCCCTTCTTGGCCCAGAGGTGTCCCCCAAAGGCCCTCTGTCCTTCCTCTGCTGCCCTGGCCAGGCCAGAAGCGTCCTGGGCTGGCCTGGGCTCAGGTGGGGGTCCCACCCTCCAGGTGTAGCTCACTGTCCTCCCCTGTCCTGTGACACCCTCCCTCTCCGTCACTAGCTGCAGTTGTGTGCCCCACAATGACACTTGGTCAGGATGGGGAGCTCTTCCAATCTGTCTTCTTGATTCCTGTTACCCCCAGAGGGGACCCACGTGCTTTTGCTTCTGTGTGCTCTTTGGGGCTCCTCTGTGACCTCAGCGTGGTCTCTATGGAAGACTGGCGGTGGGCGTGGCCGCTGGGCTTTGAGGGAGCCTGACCATAGCCTTGCCCAGCACAGGGCACCGACACTGCCACTGGCCTTGCCCCTGATTCCAGCCCTTGCATCTCAAACGTCCACAGGGCTGAGTCCAAGTGAGTGCCCAGGAGGGCTTCCTGACCACGGCCCCTCCGGGGCCAGCCTTGTGTCCCTTCATGCAGACAGCAGCAAGTGCTTCTCAGACAGACCCGCCACCAGGTGTCCACGGCAGCCACATGTGGGCCCTCTGGATTAAATGTGTGTCCCTCACTCCCTGTCCCCCTTCAAGAATTCTCCACAAAGTAAGGGACATAGTAGATCACTAGTCACACCCTGAATTACTTTCCTCTGTACCCTTCTTAAGTCATGGAACCTCCTGTCTCCTGGGCACATGGCTGTTCCATGGGCAGACCAACTTCCTTCTGGTGACAGTCACGGGCTGAGTCCCTGTGAGCCAGTTGTAAGGGACTGTGACCAGTGCCGCTTCACGCACATGCTCTGCCCCAGGGTCAAGCTGTTGGCCTGCTTTCCTTGTGAGCTGGCTGGAAGCAGACCTGGTGGGCACACCCACATGCAGAAGTGGGCAGCCTGCTGGTGGGGGAGCCTGGGTCCCCAGCACCACAGACGCATATCTCATCAGAGGGGACCTATCCTCACTAGCATATCAAGTGGCCTGTCTTTCTGTGGTTTCAAATACATTTAGGTTCCACCATGTTAATAGAAAACTTTAAGGGTGGGGGATTAGAAATAGAATACGCAGCTAGTGTGGTGGCTCAAGCCTGTATTCCTAGCTACCTAGAAGAGGCAGGGATCAGGAGACAGAGGTTAGAGGTCAGCATAAGCGTAAAGTCACAAGACTCCATCTCAGCCCACGGCTGAATACATCAGTGATTGCCTGTCATTCCAGCGACAATGGGAAGCATAAACAAGCTCATGGTCCAGGTCTGTCTGGGCATAAAGTTAAGTAACCAACTCAAAAAAGGATTAGAGGAATGGCCCAAGTAGGAGAAGGCCAGCTTAGCAAGTGTGAGGCAAGTGTTCAAATCCTAGATCGATTGATCTATCTGTCTGTCTGTCTAAGTTATTTTTTAAGCAAAGCAAAGTACATGCAAGCTGGGTGCAGTGGTGCTTGTATAGTCCTAGCTCCTCTGGAGACTGGGGCAGGAGGATTGCTGGAGTCCAGGAGGTAAAAGCCAGCCTAGACAAGACCTCCATCTATTAGGGAACACACACACACACAAGATAAAATTGGGTTTTAGAGCAGCATCAGAACCTAGGCTGTGGCCTGGGAGTGATGCTCAGTGGCAAGCCACTAACCTAGTAGGTGCGAGGCCATGGATTCAATCCATAACACTGGAAAATAAAAAACTTCAAAAAATGTCAAAATATACCTAGCATTGGGCTGGATGTAGCTCAGTGGCAAAGGCTTGCCTAGCAAGTGCAATGTCCTGGGTTCGATCCCCAGTACCAAAAAAAAGGCAAAAACAAAAATATATACCTAGCACATACTAGAGGGACAAAGCGTGAACAAATGTAGCAGTGGTACTCACTGGACACTATATTGAAAATGAACTATACAGCTTGTGGATGGGGATGGGAGGGAAAAATGGGGAGAGTGAGGGAAGGGGTGACATTGTCCCAAAAGAAATATACTCTTAGTGGGGTGCCAGTGGCTCATGCCTGTAATCCTAGCTAGTCAGGAGGCTGAGATCTGAGGATCATGCAAAGCCAGACTGGGCAGGAAAGTCCATGAGACTCTTATCTCCAATTAACCACCAGAAAACCAAAAGTGGCACTGTGGTTCAAGTGGTAGAGTCATAAGCCTTGAGCTGAAGAGCTCAGGGACAGTACCCAGGCTCAGAGTTCAAGTCCCATGACTGACCAAAAAAAAAAAAGAAAGAAAAGAAAAGAAATGTACTTTTTACCTAACTTATGAAACAGTAACCCCTTGGTACATCACCCTTATAAAAACAATAAACAATTAAAACATACACACATACACACACACACCCCCCTAACACAAATTGTGCCATTTTAAGTGTCCTGATCAGTGTCATTGAACACTGCGACATTTTTCCCACTACTCCCATGGTCTACTCCAGGACTGGTCATCCTGTGGACCTTGCATTGTCTGGGGCACAGGGCAAGTTGTGGGCAAATGAGATTAATTCAGAGCTCACTTTCACAGTGGGCTCAGACAACAATAAAAAAAAACATTTTTCAGCTTCAAATCTGTGCCTATATAGCCCACAATTATTCAGATGTTTTCAAAGGGCTGGGGGAAGGCACTTGACAAGCATGTGAGCCCCCTGGGTTTGATTCCCAGCACCACCGGCCCACCGTTTGTGTGTGTGTGTGTGTGTGTGTGTGTGTGTGTGTGTTTTGGGTTTTTTTGTTTTTTGTTTTTTTTTTAGTAAATCCTGAAATCACCTAATACAAGGAATGAAAGCATCAACATGCTGGGTGTGAGCATTTAAAATACACACAAAATTTTAGCTTCCTACTGGCTTTTGTCTTTTTCATCAACTGCCAGCCTTCAAATACAAATGGAACCTGGGCCTCTGGGCCTTTCCATGGCTCTGGAAGAAAGAAGCACATCCCATGGGGGAACTAGCTGCACTGAGGCTTGGCCCTGAAGTGGCTGACTTCAAGTCCTTCCCTGCCAGCTCCTCCCAATGTAGTCAGCTAAACCTATCTTTAGCCTCATGCCCGTAGGTCAGCCCCAGAGGGGTTGGGAGGGGGCTGCCTTTGAGGAGTCTTGCCAGACAGGCCTGCTGGGTAGCATGGAGGGGGAGCTGTCCCTCCTACAGCCCAGGTGGGGTCATATCAAATCCTGGAGGGAGCCGGCTGCTCCTGACTTGCCTACTGACAGAACTACAACATGGCTGAGGCCACTACACAGGCCACGTCGAAAGGCTGTGAGTCCTGTGGGAGCTTTAAGAGGGTTGTAGCCTGTTGCTGGTGTTCGCCTTTAGGTGGTGTGAGGGTAGACTTGTGGGTTTCTAACAGAGGCAGGAGCATCTCCAGGCTTGGCAATCAGCCACTGCTGGCCCCACTGCCTGGTAGATGGAGCCTCAGGTTCGTGTGTGTGTGTGTGTGTGTGTGTGTGTGTGTGTTGGTACTGGGGATCGAACTCAGGACCTGGGCAGCACTTAACTTTTGTTCTTTAACAATGTTCTGCTGCTTGAGCCATAGCTCCACTTCTGGCTTTGATTCACTGAAGATAAGAGTGCCACAGACTTTCCTGCCCTTGCAGACTTTTAACCATAATGCTCAGCTATCAGCCTCCTGAGCAGCTATAGTTATAGGAGTGAGCCACTGGTAGCCAGCTTCAGGCCCCCTCTCAGAACATCTGGAGAATGCCCGTTCTGCAGCTGTCTAGGTCTGTCAGGGTCACTAGGTCTGGTCACTGGTATCACGATGTGAGTGTTGTAAAGCCCAAGCAAATTGCAAGTCACTATTACAAGCGAGGCGTGAAATTTTTGCTCATGCTTATGGTTTTGGAAGTTGCTGTGAGGTTCCTAATGGTAGCCTTGCCTTCCTTCAGAATGCAGAGGGCAGGGTGGGTAGCCTGTGATTGGGGTGGGGGTGGGGCTGTGAAATGCAGTAGGCCTGGCCCTGATCTGGACTCAGGCAGTGTCCTCCTGCTATGGCTGGTCTCACTTATTCAGAGACCCTGGGCAGGTCCATGGATCTGCAAGACAAACAGTAAAGATGGGTCACTTCCTGCATGTCAGGGTGAAGGCCAGGGGTAGCTTTTGGTCTTGTGTGCTGGACTAGACCGATGAGCTATGGGTGAGCCCTAAGTCTACTGCAGCTACTGAGTAGGAAACACTTGAAGCATGTCCAAAGCATCTTTGGACTCATGAGAGACCAAATAACATTCCTTGGAATTCCTCTGTTCTGTCTGTAAATTTGATATTATACGTATGGAAAAGAAGATCATCCATGAGTACTCATACAGGATTTTTTTTGTTTGGTTTTGGTTTTGCAGTTTGGAGATGGAACCCAAGACCTGTATAAGATAGCAGGTGCTCAGCCACTGAGTCATGCCCTAGCCATCAAACGGGAGAGCTAGCCAGGAGAGCCAGAGCAGCCCCTCCTCAAGTGAGCGTTCATCACATCCCCTCACTTCCCAGCTCTCTGTTAAGCAGAGGCAGCCCGATGCCACAAAAAGCGATGTCTTAGACTTAGGCCAGACTTTGAAGCCTCGCTCTGCCACTTAAGCATGGTGGCAGTGGGCACGTGTATCTGCTCCCTCAGCCCCTCCCCACAAAGGGACCCGCCCTGCTAGGTTCCTCCCTGCAGACAGGACTAGCCATGCTTCCCAGTCAGTGCAGCAGCTCTCTTATACACTCACCCTTTCATTTATTCCCGTCATCAGCAAGTGTCCTAAAGCGTCCTGTTGTCACTCCTAACTGCCCAGCAGCAGGCCTCAGACTGACTCCTGCTGGCTCTGCTTGCAGTGATTCTCTGGAGGGCTTCTCTGAAAGAGCTGGCACTCATATCCCCTTTCCTAGACACTGGAGGAAGCTCACATTCAAACACTCTGCTCTCTGCTCCTTCAGGGACATCTATGAGGCTCCCAGAGGCTCCAGGGATGGCTCTGGTGCTAGCCTTGAGTGAAAAGCTGAGAGTTCCCTGGTCCTGAGTTCATGCCTTGGTTAAAAAATAAGGCTACAGCCGGGTGCCAGTGGCTCACACCTGTAATCCTAGCTACTCAGGAGGCTGAGATTTGAGTATTGCAGTTCAAAGCCAGCCCAGGCAGGAAAGTGCATGAGACTCATCTCCAATAAACCACTAGAAAACTGGAAGTGGTGCTGTGGCTCACGTGGTAGAGCGCTTCCCTTGAGCTGAAGAACTCAAGGACAGCGCCCAGGCCCAGATTTCAAGCCCTATAACTGGCAAAAGAAAAAAAAAAAAGGCTATGAATGCAGAAAAACAGAATTTACTTATGTGAGTATGCGTGTGTGCATGTGTGTGTGTGTGTGTGTGTGTGTGTGTGTGTGTGGACCTGGAGAGTATCTCTTCTCTGTGTTTAACCTGCAGACTAGTCTGTCTTTTCTTTTCTTTCTTTCCATTATGGGGCTTGACCTCAGGGCCTGGGTGCTGTCACTGAGATCTTTTGTTCAAGGCTAATGCTCCACTACCTTGCTCCATACCACTTTGGTTTTCTGGTGGTTAATTGGAATTAAGAGTCTCATGGACTTTCCTGCCTGGTATGGCTTTAAACTTCGATCCTCAGATCTCAGCCTCCTGAGTAGCTAGGATGACAGGTGTGAGCCACCAGTGCCCTGCTAGTCTTGTCTTGTGTGGACATGATGACAAGATCTAGGTCTTGTCTTGTGAAATGGCTGGGCTCCACCGCCTGGATTTTACCATTCCTGCTTGGTCTCCCCGGGCTATGCAGAGCCCTGAAGGTAGGCCCCCTCCCTCTAACAGGTTCCTTCCTCTCTTGATTCCTATTTGGGACCCCTCAACTGTGCAAAGGCGTTGCTCGGTCAATCAGGGAAAACGAATTAGCCCGAGATCGGTCAGGTATAATAGTGGCCATGTTTTTAAAAAACAGACCTGATCAGTTAAACATGCCCAAGTTTGTAAGGTGAAATATGTCTGCGAGGATGCTTCAGAATCACTGCAGAAAAAAACTGATTGAAGGATGTGTGTAAGGCAAAGGACAGCATTTTTTAATGTTAAAAAAAAATTACTCAAAATGCTGGGTCCCAGAAGGAACGGGAGTGGGACGGGCGAGGGTGGGAGGCGTGGGAAGGCCTCTCCCCACGGACACGGAGCCATGCCCGCGCCAGTCTGGGCCGCAGTGAGGGCCGCAGTCCCGCCCTGGCCCCGCCCCCTGCCTGGCCCGCCCAGTGCCGGCCTGGCCCCGCCTCATGGCCGCAGTCCCGCTCTTGACCCCGCCCCCTGTCGCGCACCCGCCCAATCCCGCCATGGCCCCGCCCCCCAGGGCCGCAGTCCCGCCCTAGTCCCGCCCAGGCTCCCGGCCCGGCAGAGGGGCGGCAACCGCTGCTTCCCGAGCCCGCCCTTCCCACTTCCTCCGGGCGCCGCGCCCTCGGAGGCCGCTTTTCCACCGCTCCAAGCTCGGTAAGCGCAGCTCCGAGCCCGGAGGAGCGGGAGGGGCCCGTGGAGATCCGGGCCGAGCGCGCCCGCAGGGCCCTGGGGGCGTCCGGGAGGATGGGAGGGGGCGGCACCCCTGGGGGCCGCGGGGCGCGAGGGAGGCGGGGCGGGGCGGGGCGGGGCGGGGCGGGGCGGGCAGCCTGGCTGCTCACCTGAGGCGCGCCTGCGTCCGGACGCGGCTCCCTCAGTCCCCGCCCGGCCCCTCGTCCCGACGCGGCTCCCTCAGTCCCCGCCCGGCCCCTCGTCCAGGCCCTCGGCTCCCTCAGTCCCCGCCCGGCCCCTCGTCCAGGCCCTCGGCTCCCTCAGTCCCCGCCCGGCCCCGGCCCCGGCCCCTCGTCCAGGCTCTCGGCTCCCTCAGTCCCCGCCCGAGTGCTCGGGCCTGGCCCCGGCCCGGCCCTCCGTCAAGCGTTGGCTTCCCCAGTACCCCAGGAAGCTTTTACCGCTCTATCCTGGGCCCCTGCAGACCCCCTAGGCCCGCCCCCACCCCCCGGGGTCCCCGCAGACATCCCTCCAGGCCCGGACAGTCGGTTTCCATTCAGACTCCAGCCCGACCTCCCCTGGAGCAGCCTGGAGAGTCTCACTGGGAGTGGACAAGCCGGGTTCCCGGTGGATAAGTACCCGGACCTCCACAGTGTGTCCTGTGTCCTCGTACAGACATACTAGGAGGAACTTCGGATTTGTGACCTAGACACAGGTCGACAGCTAATAAGAGAGCAGTTAAAGCACTATACCCGAAGAAACTCAGCATCACCATTCTCATCCTTTGAGACCATTGTTTACTAAAGTAAGGGTTATTGACCCATGATACCCTGATTTGTTGAGATGGCTCCCAGGTGACACCCAGGTGAGGAATATAGACAGGGTGATCACGCTGAACCAAACATGGTCAGCAGTCTTTGTGGGGTGGAGCTGGACGGTGAGAATTTCACCAGGCTGTTCAGTAACTTAAAACACATGAATTATTTACTCATGGGATCTTCTTTTAGTATTTGTGGATCACAGATGGTGGCAGGTATCTACAATCTTGGAAAGTGAAGTTGGGTAAAGAGGTCTCCCATGTCCCCATTTAATTTCCCCAGCTCTGTGGCAGTAGTACCCTCATTTGACAGATGAAACAGTGAGGAGACAACTTACTCTTTCTAGACAAGGGGAAAGCTGGGATTCTGAGGGGTCTTTTTTAGTGTTGAGCTGACGATTGAACCTTGGGCCTTGATAAAGCTAAGTAGGTGCTGCTCTACCTCAGAGCTACATCCCCAGCCATAAGATCTGGGATTCTACTCTAAAGCTTGGTCTCCAGTACATTTCTACTGCAGTGGCAGTCACTTGTGAAATTTAGATGAAGCCCAGAGACCCTGTGGTCTCATTGTCCATGGCAGCCAGCAGCAGGCAGCTGAACAGAGACCACAGGCCTGGGCCCACCCAGTTCATGGCCAGGAATGTCTGCCTAGCAGGAGTTTGTATGAGGTACAGAGCCAGGCCCCAGAGGGGAAAGTGTTACTACTGGGGGGTCCACAGGCCATACCTGGAGATGGGACACTTCTGGGTGGCAGTGGCTGTTTGCTACTCATTCTGATGGGGACAGCCACCCCCTGGTGGCAGCAGGGAGGGTCGTTGGCTTTACATCAACCTATGTGGCTCTCATCAGTCAGTGGCCTGCTGGAGTAGGGAGGGACTTAGTCTCTGCCTTCCAATGCCAGGAAAGAGGGGGAGGGTGTGTCTCTCAGCCTCCACACTGTTGACATGGGGGGAGGGCAGGTGCAGCACCCTCCCTTGTGTGACAAACATTACCTCATGTCGTTGGGGGTTAGCTGAACCTGGATGGGATCCCTATCTAGAGTTGGTGCCCATGGTCAGCTCACTCTACTGGGCTAAAGGACAAGAGGGCTTCCTAGATCCACAGCCTACTCCCCATGAGAGCCCACTCTTTACAAGTGCTTCCTGCATCCTGGCCTTTGGGGCTGGTTTTTGTTCATTATCTGTATGCATTTTTTTTTTTTTGTCCTGGGGCCTGAACTCAGGCCTTGGCACTGTCCCTGAGCTTCTTTTGCTCAAGTCTAGCACTCTGCCACTTGAGCCACAGCACCACTTCCAGTTTTCTGGTGGTTAATTGGAGATAAGAGTCTCATGGACTTTCCTGCCTGGGCTGGCTTTGAACTGTGAGCCTTGGATCTCAGACTCCTGACTAGCTAGGATTGCAGACGTGAGCCACTGGTACCTGGCTCCAGTGGAATCTTGATGGTACAAGTCTTTGAGAGAAACCAGTGCATTCCTAGCCTCCAGGCTATGATTTACTCTGTTTGTGTGGGCTGTTCATTTTAAGGCTATAAGCAAGGGGGGGGGGAGCAGAGATTAATTATTTTCACCAACACCACAGGTGTCACAACACCAACATGAATGTTATACCAACACCTGACACCAACACCATGAACATTACACCAACACATGACACCAGCACCATGAATGTTACATCAGCACCACAAATATTATACTAACATGTTACACCAACACCATGAACATCACACCAATACCATGAATGTTACACTAGCACCAAGGACATACACCAACACATCACACCAACACCACAAATGTTACACTGGCACCATATTATTCCAGTACTACAAACATACCAGCATGTTACACCAACACCATGAATGTTATACCAGCACCATGGACATTACACCAATATGTTATACCAATCTCATAAATGTCACACATGTTACACCAACATGTCACACCATGAACATCATACCACAAACATAACACCAGCACCACAAATGTTACACCAACACCATAAACATTACAGTGTTTCCATTCTTATTGAGGGAGACTCAGTTTAGAAATGGCTACTCTCCAGTCTTAACAAGCCTGGGACTAATTTTCAGAGTTGGGGCTGGGAAGGTGGCTCAGTGGTAGAGTGCTTGCCTTGCATGCATGAGGCCTTGGGTTTGATTCCACATAAGCAGAAAAAGCTGGAAGTGGCGCTGTGGCTCAAGGTGTACAGTGCTAGCCTTGAGCTGAAGAGCTGAGGGGCAGCGCCCAGGCCCAGAGTTCAGGCCCCATGACCGACAAAAACAAAACAACAACAAAAAACAAACAGGTATTTTGCCACTTTTCTTATTTGCTGAACTTATTATGCTTTTGCTGTGCTGGGGAGAACCCAGGCCTGAGCGAGCTCCACACATACTCTGTGTGAACTGCACCCTGGTGCAGGTTTTCTGGTCACTCCGAGGACAGAGGTGCTTTCGGAGGTCATCTCTGCACAGGTGTGGATTGCAGTCCATACGCATTGGCACCCGCTGTGTGTGTGCCTTGTCCTCACACCTGTGCTGTGAATAATAAACCGTGGGTGCAGGTAGGCTGGCCCCATGGTGGGGGGGCTGCAGGAGGATTGCTGGCCAGCCTCTGATGGGACCCAGACCCAGGGCCCTGGGAAGTTGATAGCCCCTGGAGTCAAGTGTTCTACCCTTCTACTCTATTGCTTTGTGTCTCCCAGATTAAGGCTGTGGGTCCACTGTGGGCAGATGGAAGGGACGGAGACCCGACATCGGAGGCTGGAAGGTTGTGCCAGGCCAGAGGAGCCAGGACTGCCATCCTCTGTCAGCACAGGAAGACTTGCTGAGGAATCAGAAGATGTGCAAGTGGTGGCCCCTGTGGCTCCTCAACCACTGGAGGTTGAGCCCAGCCAGGAGACTGCCTTGGCCGTTGGCATGCAGGTGATAGTGCCCTTCCTGTTTGCAGGCCTGGGGCTGTCATGGGCTGGCATGCTCCTGAACTACTTCCAGGTAAGGGGTACTGGGTAACAAGGTGCTGGGCAGCACTAGGAAGCCGCCTCACTACTGCCTTTCCTGGATATTGGGCAAAATTCTTCTAGTCACTGGTGATAGAGATGAACTTAATCTGACTTTCTTTTTTTTTTAAATTATTGTTATTATAATGGTGATATATGAGGGGTGACTTTTTTATTATTGATGTCACAATGGTGTGAGCCCATTGTGTGGTATATAAAATTTTGTCTCCTTCTGATGACTGTTACGTTCAGCAACTCTGTGTCTACTTGGTTGCCCTCACATGGCCCCACTGGCATCTGCTCAACCAGCAGTGCTACTCACCCGGGCATCAGCAACGGGAACAGGGCCAGAGGGACCAAGGCTGAGCTGCAGCTGCAAGTGCATTCCAGTCATGTGAGAGCAATGGTATCAGCATGGCTGTCCACACCAAAACTCCAAATACAATGATGTTCAAAGGTGGTGGAGCTTTTAAAAGGCATTTGGGGCCATGAGAGATTCCCCCTCCTGAAGAAAGCAATGTAGTTCCCCTAAGAGTCGGTTTAGTTGTCCTGAGACCATTATCTCCAATGAACAAAAACAGGAAGTGCTACTGTGGCTTAAAGTGATAGAGCACTAGCCTTGAGCTGAAAAGGCTCAGGAACAGTACCCCTCCACCCCCACCCCAGTTCTGAGTTAAAACTCCACAACCAACCAAAAAAAAAAAAATCAGGTTTGGTAGCACTGGGTCTGTGTTTTCTATTGCTGTGTCACAAATTGCCATAAACATGGCGTGGCACCCACTCACAGTGCTGTGAGCAGAGGGTAGGGGAGGTAACTCTGCTCAGGGAGTTAAAGACTGGAAGCCAGGTGCTGGCCAGACTGAGCTCTGTTCTCAAAGCTCTGGCGATCTGCGTCTAGGCCCATACCTGGCAGTCACAGTCCTATTAACTACAGGATCATGGCCCCAGACCCTGCTAGCTGTCAATCAGGGGCTGCTCTTACCTTGTTGAGGCCATTCCCCCATCCCACTTTTTTCTGTAATTTTAACATTTTGAACTGATTTACAAAAAGCATAAAAATTGGATGTGAGGCTGTTCCTATTGTTAGCCTGTGTCCTTCTGGTTTCATAGCCAGCAGGGAGAAATCTCCCTGGTTAGGAGCGGCTGTTTCCTTTGCAGACTCACCTGATTCGGGGAGGCCCACCCCAGCTCACTTTTTTCTTTTCTTTCTTTCTTTTTTTTTTTTTTTTGGTCTGTCGTAGGGTCTGAACCCTGGGCCTGGGCACTGTCCCTCAGCTCTTCAGCTCAAGGCTAGCATTTTCCACTTGAGCCACAGTGTCACTTCCGGCTTTTTCTGCTTATGTGGTGCCGAGGAATCGAACCCAGGGCCTCATGCATGCAAGGCAAGCGCTCTACCAATGAGCCACCTTTCCAGCCCCTCAACTTTTTCTTAAAGCCCAGCAGAACTACTCACTGGAATGCATGGAGCAGGTAGAAATGCCCCAAAGTCTCCAGAAAACGAGAAACATGGGGAGCAGTGCTGGAGCATGCAGAGCCCTGGGGTGGGGGTGGGGTTTGAGGCAGATATTATATACACATGCTTAGGAGGGCAGGGACTGCGGCCTTACAAAGATACGGAGCAGCCTGGCAAGGCTGGAGGACTGGCTGGAGGGTTAGTGTTGGTGCTCCCTCACCCCCTCAGTGGGAGAAGGATCTACCCTAGGGTTATGGAGGTGAACTTGACTCCTGGCACTGGGCAGATGTCAGAAGTTTATCAGTGCCCTGTGCGCTCAGCCTGGGGACGGTGGCCACATAACGCTCAGGGGGCTCATGGAGGCCACATTCTGTTAAGATGCAGAGGAGTTGCTCAGGAGGATTGGCGTGTGGGAGCACCTGGCATGACCTGTTTCTCAGTCCAGCAGGGCCTGCAGCCTGCCGCTCAGGGACAAGCAGGCATGGTGCAGGGGCCCTCACACAGGAAGGTTGTTTGGCTATGACCTTGTCCCCAACCTGAAGCCCTTTCGGTTTTCCCAGATGTTGAGCCGGCTCCTTAACTCTCTTACATCACAAAGCCCGCGAATTTATTTTTTCCTTTATCCTTACCCCTGGCTGGGTTTCTTTTTCTTGTCATGTCTATAGTTCCTTTTATTTGTTCCTTCTCTCATTCAGGCAGCTTACACTGTGAGTGTGTGCCATGAGCCAGAGTGCCTTGTGTACAGTGGGCCTGCTCCTGGTCGCTCATGTCATGAGGAGAGGCAGACAGCAGGTGCCTGAGCCAGTGCTGGCAGAAACCAAACAGTATGAGTGGCAAAGGGGGCGGCATGAGCAGCCATGGAGAGGAGGGCTGGGGCCTTTCTGGAGGTGAAGGCTTTGGAAAGATGCTCACCAACCATAGGGGCAGTGGGCCAGGCCTTCATTTGCACCTAGGGGTAAGCAGACCAGAAGGTAAAGGAGACCACCCCTCCCACTTAATTAAGTCTAATCAGGCTGACCTCCAAGAGCATTCAGAATGGCCACCTGATTCAGGGTGACTCAGAAGTGGGGATCTGGAAACTGCTCCTGGGAAATGCAGTTCTCCTCTGCAATGGACATACCAAATACACATCCAAGAACACAATCCCTGCACACCAGAGGATGGAGTTTATCAGGGGTCCTGGTGCCTAGGTGAGCCATAGGGTTCTGAGTCTTTGCTCTGTAGTGTAAGACCAGGCAGTTCTCTCTGTGGGCCTTGCAAATGCTCAGCAGGTGCTCCATCATGGATCTGATGTGCCACCACTCTGACTGGGGACTGTGGGGTGGATGGAAGCCCAGGAGGGGCCATGCATGTGCAGGGTTACCCAGGAGGCCACCTGATACCTGACCCAGATTTTGCCTGCTGCCTGCCTCCTTCCAGCTCAGGCTCTCTGATATTTTCCACTGAGCTGCTGAACTATTTTTAAAACCACATTCCTGGGTTCTGCAGTTTGACCCAGTAAGCTGTGCACGTGCTGTTCTGAACTGTCAGGGGAAATGATGTTTCTCGTATGGTTACAATTTATCTGATGATTCAGAAAGCAAATAATTACAACAGTCAGAACACAAAAGAAGCTACTTTAAAAAAAGATTACTTATAATCCTACCAACTAAAGGTAACCAGTTTTTTGGTATTTGGGTTTATATATTCTTCTGAACTTATGCAGTGTATGTCTTTATCACTCAATTTCATTAATTTATTTAGTGTGCTAGTACCAGCACTTGAACTTGGGGCCTGTCCCTTAGCTATTTCACTCAAAACTGATCCTCTACCACTTGAGCCACAGCTCTATTTCTGGCTTCTTGGTGTTTTATTGACATTAGAGTCTTATGGACTTTCCTGCTTGGGCTGGCTTCACACCATGTTTCTCAGATCTCAGCCTCCTGAGTAGCTGAGATTACAGATGTGAGCCACTGGCTCAGTCAATTTTAAAAGCAAGTATGAAGAGCATTTTGCAATGAACAGACACCTTGTTCTGGGGATTACATGTTCGTTGCTTATTTCCATGTGTCTGGCATGGTGGGAGGGCTCCAGGCACCTGCTTCATGTATGATGTTAGATTATATGGTGGCCATATCCTGAAGGGTAGTTGTCTTGTAGCAGTGCCATGGCAGAGGAAGCCAGGGCTTCCTTGTGCCTTGGTGATGACATCTCAGCATTGGTGTCTCATCGCCATGGAGATGTTGGCCTGCAGGTCATGTCTTAATCCAGCCTGTGTCCACACTCAAGTCCTCTTCTTGGCATTTTTCTCAGAAACACAGTTTCTCTGTTTTCTGCAGCTTTGAATTTGTGTTTTAACAAACTGGTACAAACTATGGCTTCCAGGTGGGGGCAGGGGAGGAGGGTGGAGGGTGACCAGGGCAGAGGCAGGGTGGGGAGGCCTTGCAGGAGGCAGGTCATAGCCTGATTGCTGCTGACTTGCTGTGTTGGGCAGACACTCTTGGAGCCTTCATCTTATCATTTGCAGAAATCCAGCGCTGCTCCTGTGAGCCCCTGTGAGACTGTTTCAAGAGTCTAGGGAAAGTCCTGTCCCCTGCCCAGGCAGGGTTCTGGTAGGGATAGTGGGCCGGGAGAGGCAAGGGCAGACAAGCGATGGCTGAGTGGTGCAGGGCTGAGGCTTGGTCTGGGTGGTCAGGCTTGGGCTGGTGTTTCTGGCTGGAGGCTTGTGAAGTGTTTGGGAGAAGCATGGGCACCCAGGTTCTTGACCCTCACCATGGATGCGAGAAGGTCTGAGGGAGGGGAGTGGGCTGGGCGGGGTTTGGGAATTGTTAGGCGCAAGGAGTATGAGATTAGAAAAATCAAGGGTGGAGATGTGGTTCCCACTTATCTGCTGCTGTGCGGCAGAGCACCCCAAACCTTGGCAGCTTGTTGACTGCGTCGCTCAGTTTGATCACCAGTGTACAGTCTGGGTGAGGCTCTGTGTCGGTGTCTGTCTGCCCCATGCAGGGCGCAGGTGGCGGTTGGCTGGGACCTCAGCTGTGGCCCATGGCCATGTTACCCACATGTGGGCTCCTCACATGACTTCTGGTTGTCACCTGCATGTGGGCTTTTCATGTGACTTCTGGCCTTTCTCTCGGCCTGGAGCTGGCTTTCAAGGGTGAGTCTCCCCTGAGATAGAAGGGGCAGCTGCAATTCCCCACATCCAGTCCAGTAGTGCCCAGAGTAGCAGTGGCTTTTCCACTGAGCCCTGTTGGCTGTGGGTGGATACAATATGAAGGCTTGGATGGAGACACCAACTCCCAAAGGCCAAAGGCATTTAGGGTGTGCTGTGTCTGGCTCCTGGGATATCTGCAGGATGGGAAGCTAGGAGGAGAAATGGAGGCACTGGTGGGAGGAGCACTGGAGCCGGCGGGGAGATAAGAGTGGAGAGATTTGACAGGGGACTGACATGGGGGCTGGTGAGGGCTCAGCTGAGGGCACTCAGTGGAGGAGATTGAGTCAAGATGCCCAATAAGACAGTGGGCACCGAAACACAAGGAGGCCCTGACCCTGTAGTGCCCCCA